CCATTACGTGCATTCATTGTCTCATTTTCCTCTCGTTCAGTTTAGCCACCAATGGAGGCCATGCCGGCCGACGAAGCTGCTCCGGACACTGGCCCCGACGAGCCGCCTGTAAGAGCGAAACCAACAGCGCCGTCCCAGCCGGAGAAAGCTTCGGATGCTCCCCGCTCTGGGCTAGATTTTCTTAGATCTACGGCTGCTCCCGTCACACCTGAACCGCCTAGGTCTACCGTTCACGATTCTGCCCTTGTAGTAACCCCTACTCCTACTGCTTCTCCTATTCCCGTCCCGTTCACTCTCCCTCCGGCTGTTGCTGGCTGCAGCAAAAATCCTCCACCGCCCTCGCCGAGTCTTACTCCAAGCACGGTGCGGGTGTCCATTGGCCCGCCGTCGGCTACTTCCGCTCCCAAGCGTGCGCGATCTGGAAAGTGGGCGCAGAGTACTCTGCTGGTGGGAGGCCGCCGTATTCCACCGCCGGAAAAGCCCGATGAGCCTGCACAGAAAGAAGCTGAGCTGCCGGAAGAAGGTGACATCCCGGTGCGCGCGGATACCGGCTCGCCGGCACTCACCAAGACGCAGCTGCGAGAGCAGATGTACCTGGAGGCGAGTATTAATTACGAGACGAAGTGGGCTGGATACTTTTCCTGGCTTGTGTTTGGGAAAACCAAGGACGGTTTCCCGTACGTGAAGTGCAGCATCTGCATGTCGTACGGTAAGGGGAACACGAGGTACGCCATGCAGGGAGACGACGGAGGCCGTGACTTGCAGACGCAGGCGTTCCGGGCGCACGAGCATACGGAGGCACACATGGCGGCGGTGGACCGCCAGATGAAGATTGCGGCGGGAATCCGCGAGGGGCAGCAGGTGATTTCGGACTTCATCAACTCCGACGTCGAGGGCCGCCGCGCGATACGGCTGATGTGATCGACTCAGTTCCTGTGCCAGTGCGACGCGCCGATTAGCATGTTTCCTAAGCTGATGCGGCATCTTGCGGAGCAGGACACGCCAGACATTCCCCGGCAGTCGTACGGCGTTTATCTCACGCGGTTAGTGACGGTTCAAATTGATTGCAAATTTAAACATGCACGTCAAACAACTAGCTTGACTATCGTGTACTGATAATTTCTCTGTCCTTTGTTGCAGCTACGGCTTCCAGCAGATCGTCCACAGCATGAGCACTTACCTCACCCGGGTGCAGATGGACCACGTCCTGGCATCACCGTTCCTGGGCATCCAGTGCGACGAGAGCACTGACCGCACGCGAGGGAAACACATGATTGTGTACCTTACATATCTGAAGAACCGCCAAGTTGCATGCGAGTTTTTCACTTTGCTGACGGTCGAGCGGTGTGATGCAGGGTCCTTGTTTGAGGTGCTGCTGAACCATCTTCGCTCCGCTGCCGTCGATGTGTCCAAGATCGTCGGCATCAGCACGGACGGGGCGTCGGTCATGACCGGGAGAGAGAACGGATTGGTGGCGCGTCTTCGTGAACACGTCCCTCATCTGTTCTCATGCCACTGCATCGCCCATCGGTATGTGAGTTGATCAATATTGTAGCATGTTATCTACGCTGATTGGTTTACTAACAAACCATAATACTTGTTCCCTGCTTTACACAGTGAGGCGTTGGCTGTGAAGGATGCCGCTGACTCAAACCCGGATCTCGACATGGTCGACAAGGTGGTGCGCACTGTGGCGACTCTGCTCGGAAACTCCAGCGTGTGGAGTCAGCGGTTCAAGTACCTGCAGCGTGTGATTTACAAGACCAACCTGGAAGTCCAGGGCATACACACGGTGCGGTGGCTGTCTCGAGGAGATGCGGTGGCCAGGCTGTGCAAGGTCCTCGGCGCTTGCATCGTGCTGCTCTGGGAGCACAATCACAAGGCGTACGAGATTGTCACCTGCTACAAGTTTCAGTTCTGCTTGTTTTTCTTGGCCGACATCTTGGCGGACATGAACGACCTCAACCGCTACTTCCAGAGACGAGAGGTGAGGTCGCATGTTTGTATGATGTTGCTACATGAGGTTCGTAACTGCACTGTTGCTCATCCTTCTCCCTCTTGTCTACCCCTGCTCTGCCATAGCTGGACGTGACAGAGATTGCGAAGATGATCGAGTCCACAACGAGTGACCTGGTGGAGCGCTACTTGACGCCAGAGAAAGCTTTTGGGGGCGAAGGGAAGAGCTGGCTGGTGACCTTCCTCAAAGTCCACAAGGAGGGTGGAGGCAAGCAGGTCCGGGTGCGCGGCGTGGATGGTGCTGGGCGCCCGATCAACCACCTGTACACCATGCATGAGCGGAAGCTGAAGGGGCACAAACACGGAAGCACCTACGCAGATTGCGTGAAGCTGTGCCGCAAATTCGCCCGTGACTGCGTGGACAACCTCACCAACCGACTGGATGACCTTGGGAAGCTGGGGCCGACGAAGCTGTTCCGGGCGGGCAAGTGGCCGAAGATCAAGGCCCAGCGAGAGAAGAAGTGTAAGGAGTGGCTGAACGGGTGCAGCAAGTTGTTCCGCGACAAGCTGCCGGGATTCGACATCAAAGTAGCAGAGAGGGAGGTTCCAACATTCTGCGCGATCATGGAGGCACACCATGAGATGGAGAGCTTCACCCAGGGCCTGTCCAACTTCCTTGGGAGCGCAGACTCCAAGAGGTAGCCTTTAATTTGCGTCCATGGGTTTTACAATCTTGTTGATTGCTAACTGTTTCCGTTGTGTTGTGTGTACGCATGTGCCTGGCAGGAGATGGCCCAACCTCATCCTGCTGTGGCAGGCGCTGGCTGTGCTCCCTCTCTCCACCGTGGAGTGCGAGAGGGGGTTCTCCAGGCAGAACGTCATCAAGTCCTGGGTGCGAGGAGCGCTGTGCAACGCGCGTCTGGGGGAGCTGATGCAGATATCGCTCCTCAAGTATGAGATCGACTGGCCGGAGGCACTGGAGGTGTGGAGGTCCCTGCGGACTAGGCGCCCTGCGAAGAGCTTGAAGCTGGCTATAGCAGAGAGGGAGAGGAAAGGGAAGCAGAAGGAGGGTGAAGATGTGGCTGCTCGAAATGCCAGGGAGAATGAGGATGAGGAGGAGGAGGAGGAGGACGATGAAGTGGAACAGGCCTTCGACGACGATCAGGAGATCGTGGGGGAGGAGGAAGTGGAGGACAATCCATTCTTGTCGGACGATGAGGATCTGGAGGAGGTGTACTTCATAGACAAGCCCGTGCACTAGACTAGATAGAGTAGGAAACTGCATGCACTTGTCTTATTTAGGAAAATAGTGCACTGTTAATAGCAACCCTGTTTTTGAGCTGTGAACCCTGTCCGGTCAGAGTTGGACTTCGTGTGACACTGAGCTATCAGGGTAGCTACATGTGCCCTCATAATAGAGGGTCAATTTTTTTACTGGAATCAGGGAGTCCTAAAACGAAACGTCAGCCCTGCCCGAGACCGACGGTCAAACGGAGCGGACCAATCAGACGATGGAGCAGTTGATTCGGGCCACGTGCGATGACTTGACAACTTGGGAGTAGCAGCTGCCGCTGATCGAGTTCGCCTACAACAACGCCACGTCAGCGACGACGCAGCAGTCCCCGTTCTACCTGAACTATGGGCAAAACCCAATAGTTCCCATGACGCGGAACCCGGACAACCCAACGCCACGCGCACAACATTTCGCCGAGATTCTGCAAGCTGCCCGCACCGGAGCCGCCGAAGTAATTACAAAAGCCAACGTCATCGCTAAACGCAACGCCATCGCTAAGCTGACCGCCATCGTCGCCTAGTCACGTGCCAGTCAAGGGATTACTGCCCGTCGTACCGAAATTACGATCGCGTTGCTGTGGACCATTCCAAACCAGCCACATGATCACCACCGTTGCTGTCCATTTACTGTTGCCGACAGACTGGTACATCAGCTCATCATTCCATGTCAGCCTGCTTCGCCCCTACATTCCAACGACGAGCCAACTGCCTTGTCACTGCCCGCCATCCACGATTCGCCCTGCATCGGAGCCAATCATCGAGCCCAAAAAAAATTTGAGCCATCGGATTCGATACCCCACAGGCATCAAAAGGATTGAGTTCCTCGTTCGCTGGAAGGACCGCACGCCAACTGAGGATAGCTGGGTGCCCCTGGCCAACATCGAAAACCACCGTGCCCTGCAAGTGTTCCTGAGGAGCCGGGGTTTCCGCGATATAGACGCACTCGCGTAGCGGAGGGGGCTTCTACAGGGGGGGAGGGGGGGGGGGGGGGGTGGGGGGGGGGGGGGGGGTAGTGTAAGGAATTTTATCGACATTCCTTACCGCGACTGGCAGCATTGCGTACAGTAGCAACCGTTGTTCGCCCGTTACTGCTAATAGGGCTTCGCCAACTTCGCGAGCACTGTTCCACCACACCTCGCACTGCTGGAGCAGCCGAGTCGGCCTACGCTTCGGGTAGCTCGCACGCACCGCGTACCGTTTGCATGTTTTAGCCTATGAGTATTTGCTCATGCCTGAGCTCATACCTTGTACTCGTTTTACAACTTAGTGCAATCCTCGCTCCTCGATTCATTGCACCCGTAACACCCATTCATAAAGAGGATTCGTGGTGTCTGCTGTTTCACGCGGTTGCGTTCGGTTTGTTAGCGATTTCAACCGTTTTTGGCGCATAACCGCTTTGGAACGCATAATATTGCGCATAACCACACTGACGAAATTGGTGAAGCGTGAACTGAAGAGACCACTGCGTCTTTGTGAATTGCGCGCCTAAATTGCGCCACCTGATCTCGGCAGATTCTGGGATCAGGTGGAGCGCCATTAGGACCTCGGTGTGTGTTGCGCTATTGGGCGGCATAAGCCAGATTGGTAATTGATAGCTCTTTTGTATCCCCGCCTATTTTCGAGGAAGTGGATTTCCAAGCGGGCGGCTAATAAGAAGGGGTTTTTACGGCAGGTTTTTACGAGGCAGGTGTTAACAATGGCTAGATGTGTCGGCACTAATCAAATGCGATCTGTCGCTAACGGCGTCGCGAATGCGTTCGGGAATGATCTCGCGAATAGATTCGCGACCGGTTTGGCTGGTAACGGCTATCGCGCGCTTCGTTTGCCTTTCAATTCCGCGCCGCGCGGCGTAAGATCCGCTGACATGGCGGGTCTTCTCGTCCACTGCTCGCTCCGAGGGTTCCCGAAACCCGCGCGACTTTCCGCGGCGCGAACGCGGTCAAGAAATTCCAAGCGAGTCGTGGCGAGTCGGACGAGGTCAACGTCCTGTCGCGTCGCGAAAGCGGAGGCGGGGGAAGGGACGGGGAAAGAGGCGGGGAGTGAGGCAGAGAAGGAGGAGGAGAGCGCAGGGAATTTAAGAGTCGCCGTGATATGCGGAGGGCCGTCCGAGGAGCGCGGGATATCGCTGAACTCGGCGCGTTCCGTGGTGGACCACCTGGAAGCGCGCGACGTGGAGATTAAGACGTACTATGTAGACCCGTTCTCAAGAGTATTCGCCATTCCGACCACCCAGGTACGAACTGTTTGACTTTTGTGTTGGACTACCGCAGTAGGGAGCGAAGGAAGAGGGGGGGGGGGGGGGGGAGGAGTGGGGAGGGGAGGAGTGGGGAGGGGAGGAGAAGAGGATGCGGAATGAGGCACTTATATTCGAAATTGACATGCGTGTTGGAATATAAGACATGTGAAATTTGACATTTGAAAGGGAGGCGGTTTATAAGGGGAACGGTGAACAACAGCGGGCCGAGGAGAAGCAGCATAAGAAAAGGGGGTGGGGGGCGGTTGAAAGGGAAGTCGAAATCGGCAGGCGCGTTGAAAGACATTCGAGGGAGAGGTAGTGATAGCAACGGGGCGAGCTGATAGCAACGGGGCGAGCTGATAGCAACGGGGCGAGCTGACAGCAACGGGGCGAGCTGACAGCTAAGGGGCGAGCAACGGAGCTAGTGTGGAAAGGAAGCAGGGTTGAGGTCAAGGGGGGGGCTGTTATCGTCCCCTCCCTTTCCCGTTGCCCTCACCCCGTTGCTGTCCCCTTGCTGTCGCTCCCTTCGTTTCCCTCTTTAGATCCTTTTCAACAAACCTGCCGACTCAATTTCAAGCTGCTCATCCGCGCTCCCCTCCCTTTTCCGTCGCCCTCACCCCGTTGCTGTCTCCTTGCTGTGGCCCCCTTCGTTTCCCCCTCAGATGTATTCCAACCCGCCTGCCGAATTCGACGTCGATCTCTAAGCGCCCAATTCCCTTCTTTCTCTCCCTTTTCGTCTCTCGCCATTGCTATCGTCACACCTCCCTCAGATGTATTCCAACCCGCCTGCCGAATTCGACGTTGACTTTATACGCTCCATCCCCTTCCCTCCCCCCCGTTCCCTTCCCCGTTGGTTCCTCCCCCATTGCTCTCGTCACACCTCCCCCGTTGCTCTCGTCACACGTCCCCCGTTGCTCTCGTCATACCTCCCCCGTTGTTCTCGTCACACCTCCCTGACGTATCCCAACACGCATGTCAAATTCTCCTATAAACGCCTCATTCCGCATCCTCTTCTCTCCCCACCCCCACTTTACCCCACTCCTCCCTTCCGCTGCTCCCCCTCAGATGTATTCCAACACGCCCGCCGATTTCGACTTCAAGCTCCGCAGGTACTGACCTGAACGTTTCATGGCCGCCTTTCTTTCTTTGTAGAAGCCCAGTTCCCTCCCGTCCTCTTCCTCCCTCCCCTCCCCTCACTCCCCTCCTCCCCTGCTGGCAGCATGGCATCGCCAGTTCCCTCCCTGCCTGCTTTCGCAGCACACCTGTCAGACGCAGTTGACATTGTGTTTCCGGTCATCCCTGTTGCATACACCTGCCATTTCCCCCCTCCCCTCACCTCGCTCCCTCCCCTCACCTCGCTCCCTCCCCTCTCCCCCATGCAGCATGGCGCCACCCTTCCCCTCCCTGCCTGCTTTCGCGGCACATCTGTCAGAAGCAGTTGACATTGTGTTTCCAGTCATCCATGGGAAATTTGGCGAGGATGGGGGCATACAGGTGCGCTCGCTTGCCCCTCTGCCATTCAATGTCAGACCACCACAACTACAGCATAAAAGTGCTGTTGAAGCAACATGGCGTTCCATTTGTTGGCACTTCCTCCGCTGCTGCTGCTGCTGCTGCTGCTGCTGCTGCTGCTGCTGCTGCTGCTGCTGCTGCTGCTGCTGAGTTTTGAGTCAACTAACCCCCAACCCTCCCTCTCCCCCCCCCCGTTATCCCTCCTTACCTTCAACCCCTGCCAGGCACTGTTGGAGCAGCACAACATTCCCTTTGTCGGCACCTCCTCTGCTGCTGCCGCTCGGCACTGACTTTTGAGCTGACTCAATTACCCTCCTCCCAACCCTTTCACCTCCCCCCTCCTCCCCTCCTGCCCCCTGCCAGGCACTGCTGGAGAAATATAACCTTCCCTTTGTCGGCACTTCCTCTGCTGCTGCTGAGTTTTGAGTCTGCTAACCCCCACACCTTCCGCTCCCCTTCGTCCCCCCAACCCCCCTTCTCCCCTCCTCCCCCCTGCCAGGCACTGCTGGAGCAACACGGCATTCCCTTTGTCGGCACTTCCTCTGCTGCTGCACGCAATGCATTTGACAAGGTGGGAGGGCGGGCGGGCAGGCGACTGAGTAGGGAACTTGTTTGACAAGGTGATAATTACACCGGAAACCAAAGGTCTCAGGCTCGAATCTCACAAGGTCCTATAACCGCAGCCTGCCAGCCCGCCAGCCCAGATGTAACCAACAGACTGGTTTTGTCTTGCACTGCACCTTGCTTCTCTCTCGCCTCACTTTTGAGTCGACTCAAAAGTCTCTCGCCTCACCTTCGATTTTCTTTTCAAAGATGCGAGTTGATTTTTACCCTCCCTACCTCCTCCTTCCTTACCCCCCCCCCCTGTCTCTGGCAGTATGCGTGTTTTATCTAAGGCATCTCAAATCCCCCCTCGTCTCCTTTCCCCGGTGTTTCCTGCAGTATGCGTGTTTTATCTAAGGCATCTCAAATCCCCCCTCGTCTCCTTTCCCCGGTGTTTCCTGCAGTATGCGTGTTTTATCTAAGGCATCTCAAATCCCCCCTCGTCTCCTTTCCCCGGTGTTTCCTGCAGTATGCGTGTTTTATCTAAGGCATCTCAAATCCCCCCTCGTCTCCTTTCCCCGGTGTTTCCTGCAGTATGCGTGTGCACAGCACATGAAGCGTTGCGGCTTTCCCACCCTCCCCTCCTTTCTCATCCAGGTATGCAACTTAACTGAGAGCCAGGTAAGTACTCGCTCTTAATCATGTCCTTTCTCACATTTTTTCTTCAAAAGGGCAGTTTAGAAAGAAAACCATGCTTGAAATAACCGTGTACATGAAAGTATGGCTTTGTGTGGATTCAGGCTGGGGTAGACGGCAACGATGGTGACGTGGCGCTTGCTGATTGGTTCACCTCCAACGGACTCTCACCAGCCACCGGCTCTGTTGTGGTGAGTCTCTCTCTCTGCAGTCCATATCTCCTTGCTTTCCTGCTGCACCGTACTCTACCATTGCTAAGTGTGTACTTACCTAAGTTCTACTGGTGTGATTCTGGGTTGCTTTGCTTTGCAGGTGAAGCCAGCTCGAGCCGGGTCGAGTGTCGGTGTTTCTGTGTGTTCCGGTGCGAAGGAAGCTTCCCAGAAGGCTCGCGAGCTGATATCCGAGGTTTGTTGGTTCGTCCCACTACTTGTAATTTATTGTTTCCGTTCTTTCGTTGTCGTTTGCTTAGGATATTCTCCCTCTGTCAAGCTAAACTATCTAGGCTCGTTTTTCTCCCCCCCGCCCCTCTCTCCTCTCCCCTAACTCCTGCCTCCTGCTTCCTCTCCATTGCCCCCCTGTGTGCCCCTACCCCCTTCTAGGGTGTGGACGATAGGGTGGTGGTGGAGGTGTTTGCAGCAGGGGGCAAGGAGTTTACTGCCATCGTGTTGGAAGCACCATCCCCTACTCTCCCTCCTCTCCCCTGCTTCCTCTCCATTGCCCCCCTGTGTGCCCCTACCCATCACAGTGTGTGGACGATAGGGTGGTGGTGGAAGTGTTCGCAGCAGGGGGCAAGGAGTTCACCGCGATTTCGCCGCACTCAACCCTTGCCCCTGTTCCCCATGCTTCCTCTCCCCTGCCACCTGCCCCCTGTCTGCCCCTGCCCTCCCCATTCCAGTGTGTGGACGATCGGGTGGTGGTGGAAGTGTTTGCAGCAGGGGGCAAGGAGTTCACCGCCATTGTGTTGGAAGCACCATCCCTTCCTCTCCCTCCTCTCCCCTGCTTCCTCTCCTCTGCCCCGTGTCCGCCCGTACCCATCCCAGGGAGTGGACGATCGGGTGGTGGTGGAGGTATTTGCAACAGGGAGCAAGGAGGTCACCCATTGTGCTGCACTTAACCCCATACCGCTTGTCCCCATGCTTCCTCTCCCTCTCTCCGCTCCCCCTACCCCTTCTAGGGTGTGGACGATAGGGTGGTGGTGGAGGTGTTTGCAGCAGGAGGCAAGGAGGTCACAGCCATTCTGCTGCTCTCAACACCATGCCACTGTCCCCCTGCCGCTTGACCCATGCCCTTGTCACCACGCTCCCCAGAATGTGGACGATAGGGTGGTGGTGGAGCTGTTTGCAGCAGGAGGCAAGGAGGTCACAGCCATTCTGCTGCACTCTACCCTTGCCCCCTGCCCCCATCCTGTCTGTCCCCCTTCCCGTCTCCCCTCCGTCCCCCCAGGGAGTAGACGAGCGGGTGGTGGTGGAGGTGTTTGCAGCAGGAGGCAAGGAGTTCACTGCCATCGTGTTGGAAGCACCATCCCCTACTCTCCCTCCACTCCCCTGCTTCCTCTCCTGTTTGCCCCTACCCACCTCAGGGTGTGGACGATCGAGTGGTGGTGGAGGTGTTTGCAGCAGGAGGCAAGGAGTTTACCGCCATTGTGCTGGAGTCATCAGTAGCAGAAGCAGCTGGGAACGGGACCCGTGGTGCAGTGTGCCTCATTCCCACGCAGGTGAGTGCTTAGCTTAGAGTGCATTGCAGGGCATCAGGAGGCAAGGGGTTCACTGCAATTGACTTTTGAGTCGACTCAAAAGTCACCAGGAGGCAAGGGGTTCCCTGCAATTGTGTTGGAGGCATCAGCAGTAGCTGTTGCTGGGGCTGCGGGTGAAACATATGCGCCTTTTGAGGCGCCTCAAAAGCTGTTTCTGGGGCTGCGGGTGAAACATATGCGCCTTTTGAGGCGCCTCAAAAGCTGTTGCTGGGGCTGCGGGTGAAACATATGCGCCTTTTGAGGCGCCTCAAAAGCTGTTGCTGGGGCTGCGGGTGAAACATATGCGCCTTTTGAGGCGCCTCAAAAGCTGTTGCTGGGGCTGCGGGTGAAACATATGCGCCTTTTGAGGCGCCTCAAAAGCTGTTGCTGGGGCTGCGGGTGAAACATATGCGCCTTTTGAGGCGCCTCAAAAGCTGTTGCTGGGGCTGCGGGTGAAACATATGCGCCTTTTGAGGCGCCTCAAAAGCTGTTGCTGGGGCTGCGGGTGAAACATATGCGCCTTTTGAGGCGCCTCAAAAGCTGTTGCTGGGGCTGCGGGTGAAACATATGCGCCTTTTGAGGCGCCTCAAAAGCTGTTGCTGGGGCTGCGGGTGAAACATATGCGCCTTTTGAGGCGCCTCAAAAGCTGTTGCTGGGGCTGCGGGTGAAACATATGCGCCTTTTGAGGCGCCTCAAAAGCTGTTGCTGGGGCTGCGGGTGAAACATATGCGCCTTTTGAGGCGCCTCAAAAGCTGTTGCTGGGGCTGCGGGTGAAACATATGCGCCTTTTGAGGCGCCTCAAAAGCTGTTGCTGGGGCTGCGGGTGAAACATATGCGCCTTTTGAGGCGCCTCAAAAGCTGTTGCTGGGGCTGCGGGTGAAACATATGCGCCTTTTGAGGCGCCTCAAAAGCTGTTGCTGGGGCTGCGGGTGAAACATATGCGCCTTTTGAGGCGCCTCAAAAGCTGTTTCTGGGGCTGCGGGTGAAACATATGCGCCTTTTGAGGCGCCTCAAAAGCTGTTGCTGGGGCTGCGTGTGAAACATATGCGCCTTTTGAGGCGCCTCAAAAGCTGTTGCTGGGGCTGCGGGTGAAACATATGCGCCTTTTGAGGCGCCTCAAAAGCTGTTGCTGGGGCTGCGGGTGAAACATATGCGCCTTTTGAGGCGCCTCAAAAGCTGTTGCTGGGGCTGCGGGTGAAACATATGCGCCTTTTGAGGCGCCTCAAAAGCTGTTGCTGGGGCTGCGGGTGAAACATATGCGCCTTTTGAGGCGCCTCAAAAGCTGTTGCTGGGGCTGCGGGTGAAACATATGCGCCTTTTGAGGCGCCTCAAAAGCTGTTGCTGGGGCTGCGGGTGAAACATATGCGCCTTTTGAGGCGCCTCAAAAGCTGTTGCTGGGGCTGCGGGTGAAACATATGCGCCTTTTGAGGCGCCTCAAAAGCTGTTGCTGGGGCTGCGGGTGAAACATATGCGCCTGGCGCAAGCAGCTGCGGTATTCCAGTGACTTTTGAGAACTCTCAAAAGCTGCGGCAGCACCTGCCACGCTGTGTGCAGGTTTTGACCGCCATGCAGGTTTGTCTTGATTGCAGTGCATCAGGGGGTGCTCCAGGCCCGACTCTTGCAGTGTTTTAGGGGTTGCTCCTGTCACGCCAGAAGGCCCTGATGCTGGCGGTGACAGCTGTGTTGTTATCTTTGACTAGACTATCTTATCTCACCTTCCTCTCTTGTCTTGCCATGCCCCACACCGGGTGGAGTTGACAGGCTCTGCTGCTGCTCCTGCCACGGCAGCAGCAGCATCACCTGAAGGCGCTGATTCCGACAGTGACAGCATTGGGGATATCTTCGACTCGACCATAGAAAGCAGCTTGCTCTCTAGATTACCTGCAACTTCTCTCACCTTCCCGTGTCTTGCCGCGCCCCACCACGTCAGGTGGAGTTGACAGGCTTTGCTGCTTCTCCTGCCACCACATCAGCAGCAGCAGCAGCAGCAACTGAAGGCGCTGATTCTGACAGTGATAGCAGTGGGGATATCTTCGACTATAGACGGAAATACCTTCCCACTCAGCAGGTAAGGTTCGAGTTGCCCCTTTGACCGCCTCACCTCCTACGTTCCCCCTTTGACTCTCGTTCATTTTTGTCTTCCCGTCTTTCCCCACGCTCGTCCTCGTAATCCCTGGTACCTACCCAATTCTGCCTGTCTGTTACCCCCCTCCCACCAACCCCCCCTCTCCCCCTCACTTCCCCCCACAACAGGTTCTCTACTCCACGCCGCCCCGCTTCCCCCCATCCATCCTCTCCTCCCTCCGCGCCTTAGCCACTCGCCTCTTTTCCTCACTCTCCCTCCGAGACTGCGCCCGCCTCGACGGATGGTTCCTCCCTCCTTCCTCCCCGGCTTACGCCCGCGTGCTGGCGGGGCTAAGAGCTAGCACCGACAATTCACGAGGTGGAAACAAGGAGGATAACGAGGCAGCTAATAACGAGGACAACCAACAGGGGGAGGAGTGGGAGGAGGAGTATAAGGAGGGGATTGTGGTGTTCTCGGATGTCAATATTGTTAGCGGCATGGAGCAGACGTCTTTCCTCTTCCAGCAGGCTGCTTTGGTGAGTGGTCCAATTATGGTGGCCCTTATGATTTTGACGCCCGCTACCATTAGCATTACCATTACCATTAACATTACTATTACCATAACCATCATCATTACATTACCATTACCATGACCATTACCATTACCATCATCATTACCATTACCATAATTTTTACCAATGCCAATACCATCAACATTACTACTACCATTACCACTACCATTACCATTAACATTACCATTACCATTACCATTAAGATTACCATTACTACTACCATTACCATTACCGTTACCATTATCATTACCATTACCATTACTATTAATATTACCATTATCATTACTATTACTATTACCATTACCATTACCATTACCAATAACATTACCACTACTATTATTACCATTACCATTAACATTACCGTTACCACTACTATTACCATAATCATTACCATTACCATTACCATAACATTACCAGTACTACTACCATTACTATTACCATTAACATTACCACTACTATCATTACCATTATCATTAACATTACAATTACTACTACCATTACCATTACCGTTACCACTACCACTACTGTTACCGTTACCGTTTACCGTTACCATTACCATTACCATTGTGGTGTTTTCGGACGTGAATATCGTTAGCGGCATAGAGCAGACGTCGTTTCTTTTCCAGCAGGCTGCGTTGGTGCGCCTTCCCTCTTCCCCACTGTGTATTGCTAGTAATTGTATGCTAATAACTTGTACAATATCTCTGGATGTGAATATCATTAGTGGCATGAAGCAGGCCTCGTTTCTCTTCCAGCAGGCTGCGTTGGTGAGTGTTCTACCTTCCTCACTTATTCATGTTAGAAGTTGTATGCTAATATTGAGTATAGGGATGAGCAAAGGGCGAACACGAACATGTTCGTCTTCGCCCCTTGTCGAACACCCTCTTTTGCCGAACCGAGCACTGTCCGGTTCGGCGAACAGTTTAGGAAAAAAAAGGTGTTCGCTGTTCGCCTGTGGAGGCGTGTTCGGGCGAACCTCGAACACGTTCGTGTTCGCCACGGGGCGTTCTGCAGCAGCGCCACGAACACGAACGTGTTCGGGCGAACATCGAACACGTTCGGGCGAACGATTTAAGCTGAAAAACAAAACCTGTTCGGTTCGCCTCGAACGTGTTCGAGGCGAACCGAACAGGTGTTCGCCACCTTGCTCATCCCTAATTGAGTACAGTGTCTGTGGATGTCACTATTGTTAGCCTGCCCCCATGTCCCTTGAGTCAACTCAAATTACACTCTTCCTCTCTACTCTCCACCTCCCACTACCCACAGGTGGGGCTGTCCCACTCGTTGATCCTTCGCTGGATCCTCGCATCAGCCTGCTCCAGATACGGCCTTCCCCTACCTGCTGTGTTCCAAGTCAACTAAACCACACTCTTCCCCCTCTCCCCCAACCCGACCACCCCGCAGGTGGGCCTATCTCACTCCCTCATCCTTCGCTGGATCCTCGCATCAGCCTGCTCCAGATACGGCCTTCCCCTCCCTCTCCACCCCCCTCCGGCTGCTCCTGGCGTCGAGAGAGTGCGAGAGGAGGGAGGTGGAGGCGAGGCAGGTGAAACGGCAGGGAGGCGGCAGCTGGTGTGGGTGTTATTTGGGGGCAGCACAGCAGAGCGCCAGGTGTCCCTGATTAGTGGAACTAACGTGTGGCTCAAGCTCAGGGCGTGCCCGCAGGTGTGTGTGTGTGTCTCTGTGTGTGTCTCTGTGTGTGTCTGGGTGAGTGTGTCCCTTGCTGTCCTGTGCTGTTGCCCCTGCTGCGTAGTGGCAGCACAGCAGAGCGCCAGGTGTCTTTGATCAGTGGAACCAACGTGTGGGTCAAGCTGAGGGCATGCCCGCAGGTGCGTCTGTTGCTCTTGCACCCCTCTCCACTCTTTCTTAGCACATAGCCCATGCTCCCAACCTCAGCCCTTGCTTGTGAGTGCGCACTAATCAGCTTGTGAGTGCGCACTAATCAGCTTGTGAGTGCGCACTAATCAGCTTGTGAGTGCGCACTAATCAGCTTGTGAGTGCGCACTAATCAGCTTGTGAGTGCGCACTAATCAGCTTGTGAGTGCGCACTAATCAGCTTGTGAGTGCGCACTAATCAGCTTGTGAGTGCGCACTAATCAGCTTGTGAGTGGGAGCACCACGTTTCTATGATCAGTGGAACCAACGTGTGGCTCAAGCTGAGGGCATGCCTGCAGCCGACTTTTGAGTCAACCTGCCCGCAGCCGACTTTTGAGTCAACCTGCCTGCAGCCGACTTTTGAGTCAACCTGCCCTCAGCCGACTTTTGAGTCAACCTGCCCGCAGCCGACTTTTGAGTCAACCTGCCCGCAGCCGCAGGTGTGTTAGTGTGTCTGTTTTTGTGTGTGAGTGTGTCCCTTGCTGCGCTGTGCTGTGCTGTGGCCACTGCTGTGAGTAAGCACAGCAGAGCGCCAGGTGTCTCTCATCAGCAGCACCAACGTGTGGCTCAAGCTGAGGGCGTGCCCGCAGGTGTGTGTCTCTTTCTCTGTGTGTGTCTGTGTGAGTGTGTCCTGTGCTGTGCTGTCCTGTGCTGTGCTGTCCTGTGCTGTGCTGTGCTGATACCCCTGCCCTCCCCCCCAAACCCGGGGGCCCTCCTCTTGCCATCCCACTCCCACAGTTTGACGTGCAACTGTTCCTCCTGTCTCCATCGCACGACAGCAGCAGCAACACTGCTGGAAGCACCAGCAGCAACAGCGGTGACATCTCTGGAAGAATACTTCTGAAGCTCTTCCCTTCCCTCCTTCCATCCCTTCTCTCCATCACCTATCTCTTCTCCCTCTCCCACAGTTTGACGTGCAACCGTTCCTCCTGTCTCCGTCTCACGACAGCAGCAGCAACACTGCTGGAAGCACCAAGAACAACAGCTCGGGCAACGGCTCGAGCCCTGGGTCTCTCTCGTTGAGTGAGCGAGCGGCGTGGGCGGCAGAAGTCGACACAGTCTGGTCCCTCCCGTAAGCATCGTCTTGTTGCCACTGCACAGTAGCATTGCTACAGAAAGCAGCTCAGGCAATGGCTTGAGCCCTGGGTCGCTTTCGTTGAGTGAATGAGCTGCGTGGGCGGCAGAAGTCGACACTGTCTGGTCCCTCCCGTAAGCATCTGCCTCGTTGACATTGCAAGAGGGACCAAGCGTATCAGCATAAGCATGGTGGTTGAGGGTGCTTCCACCCCTCTTTCTGGCCGCCCCCTTTTCTCCAGCTCAACAACCCCACATCTGTTATTGCTTGCCCTTGTATCTTGACCGCACAGGTACCCCGCAATCCTGCGACACACTGTAGAGGAAGTCGAGGCAGCTTGTATCGAAGCATCAAGAGAAGCAGCTAGGCTAAAAGAAGCAGAGGCGGAAGCTGCAGAAGCAGAAACAGGCAGCAGCAGTAGTGCTTCCGCCTCCTCCTCTATCCCACACTCTCTCCTGTCCTCTCTCCAGCAATGCATCGAACAAGAACTCATGGGGAGTGAGACTCATCCAGTAGAACCAAGGGCTCGTGGGAAGCAAGGACTCATGGGAGTGCACGCCGCTGGTCCTGGTGGTGCTGGTGGTCGTTTTGGGGATGTCGATGTGCGTGTGGCCCCGAGACAGATGTTGCTCCGTGATTGGGTGGCTGCTGCGAAAGCACAAGGCGCAGTTGTCTTCATTGCAGGTATGCTATGCTGCCCCTTGCTCCAATCCCCTGCCTCGGCATCTGCTCGGCAGGTATGATATGATAGAAAGCATTCGCCCTTCTATTTTATTCTCCTCTCTCCCCGTTCTCTCGCCCCCCCTCCCCGGAACCTGGGCACACACAGGCGAGGACAAGTCAATGAGAGTTGGAGTCAACGAGTGAATGATGCCCGCTATTTTCTTCTCTTTCTCTTTCCTTCCCCCAGTTCACGGAGGTATAGGTGAAGACGGCACGTTACAGCACCTGCTGGAGCGCGAGGGAGTGCCCTTTACTGGTAAGCCACCTTTAAGTCGACTCAAAAATCGACTTACTGGTAAGCCTCCGACATAATCCATCCTTGCAGTTACTCTTTTTAAGTTGCTCTTACAAAGCATGATGAACACTGGTTGAGATGAATTCTCGATAGAGGCTCGCCCCTTCATTCGTTCCAACAGACTTTTTGCTCTCTTGCACTGGATAATTTGCTCTTGGAATCTTCATGTTGTGATGTGCACTTAGCTATGTTTGTTTTCTCTGCAGGTTCTGGGTCTGAAGCGTCTCAGCTGTGTATGGACAAGGTCGCGACAGGACAGGCCATTGCTCATGTGAGTCCCACTCGCGGTGGGTGTGAATGGGTGTCTATGGGTGCAACAGTGCGCCTCTTGAGTCTCAATTCTGTTGTGCATTCGCTTATTCTTTCTTCACCCTTTCGTTCCATTGTTCTAGATTTTTCACTTTCCTTTCTACTTGCTCCCTTCTCTTCCTTGCCTTCTACAGCTGACCTCGGATGGTGTATTCTCAGCTCGAAAGCTGCTCCTTTCCCTTGACCAGTTTCTGCCCTGTGCTGCTGCTGCTGCTGGTGGTGGCGCTGGTGCTGCTGATGCCACGTGGCAGCGTCTGATTGGCGAGCTCCAGGCTGACTCGTTCTGTGTGAAGCCGGCCACAGACGGATGCTCTGCTGGCGTCGCCCGACTCGCGTGAGTGCAGTGTGTTTCACGCGACGGTGCAGAGTGATGCAGAGGGGTGGGGTGGAGATTGGGTGGGTGCAGAGCGGTGCCAGTCAGTCTGGTGGTGCAGGCGTATTTTGAGAATTCAAAGTCCGCTTGCAACACGTTGTACTGTCAAGATACAGGCGCGGTTGAGTTCGGTACAGAGGGTTGATGGATGGGTGCTCTCGTACCTAGGTGCTGATGATAGGAGAGGGAAATAGGTCCTTTCCCTCTGTACCTGACAAGGAGTTCGGTACAGAGGGTTGATGGATGAGTGCTGGGTGAGTCATCTCGGACAAGGATTCGCCAGCCTTTCACCCACCCAACTCGAGATGACTTTTGAGTCGACTCAAAAGTTTTCCCACAAATACCATCTTTTGAGTCGACTCAAAAGTTTTCCCACAAATACCATCTTTTGAGTCGACTCAAAAGTTTTCCCACAAATACCATCTTTTGAGTCGACTCAAAAGTTTTCCCACAAATACCATCTTTTGAGTCGACTCAAAAGTTTTCCCACAAATACCATCTTTTGAGTCGACTCAAAAGTTTTCCCACAAATACCATCTTTTGAGTCGACTCAAAAGTTTTCCCACAAATACCATCTTTTGAGTCGACTCAAAAGTTTTCCCACAAATACCATCTTTTGAGTCGACTCAAAAGTTTTCCCACAAATACCATCTTTTGAGTCGACTCAAAAGTTTTCCCACAAATACCATCTTTTGAGTCGACTCAAAAGTTTTCCCACAAATACCATCTTTTGAGTCGACTCAAAAGTTTTCCCACAAATACCATCTTTTGAGTCGACTCAAAAGTTTTCCCACAAATACCATCTTTTGAGTCGACTCAAAAGTTTTCCCACAAATACCATCTTTTGAGTCGACTCAAAAGTTTTCCCACAAATACCATCTTTTGAGTCGACTCAAAAGTTTTCCCACAAATACCATCTTTTGAGTCGACTCAAAAGTTTTCCCACAAATACCATCTTTTGAGTCGACTCAAAAGTTTTCCCACAAATACCACCTTTTGAGTCGACTCAAAAGTTTTCCCACAAATACCATCTTTTGAGTCGACTCAAAAGTTTTCCCACAAATACCATCTTTTGAGTCGACTCAAAAGTTTTCCCACAAATACCATCTTTTGAGTCGACTCAAAAGTCACCTAAAGTTTTCCCACACCTACGCATCTCTAATTTCACTGAACTCTTAAACAAAGCTGACAAGGATTCGCCAGCCTTTCACCCGCCCATCTCTTCCCCGTATCCCCTTCCCTCATGTTCTCCCTTTTCTGTCGGTTTGCTTGCGCTCCTTCCCAGAAACCCATCTGACCTAGCAGCATTTCCTGTTGCTTGCGCTCCTTCCCAGAAACCCATCTGACCTAGCAGCGTACGTCGCAGCAGTCAGGGATGCGGCTCCCCGTCTCCCCTCCCTCTCTTCTCACCCTCTCCCCCCCCCCCCCCCCTGTCCCTCTCTTTCACCCTCCCACTCGCCCAGCAACCCATCTGACCTGGCAGCGTACGTCACAGCAGTCAGGGATGCGGCTCCCCGCCTGCTGCCAGGCCAGCTGTCCACAGTAAGTGGGTGGATGAGTGGGTGCGTGTGAGTCTACGCGGGCGCACAAATGATTGGGTGATGGGTGAGTGAGTGAGCAGTCAGGGATGCGGCTCCCCGCCTGCTGCTCGGCCAGCTGTCCACAGTAAGTGGCTGGGTTCTTAGAGGGTGCATGAGTGTGTGTGTGAGTGAGCAAGTGAGTGAGTGAGCAACCAGGGACGTGACTCCTCGCCTGCTGCCTGGCCGGCTGGTGAGTTGAGTATATGCTTGTATTTGAGGTGGGTGAGTGTGTGCATGAGTGAGTGAGTGAGTGAGTGAGTGAGTGAGTGGGCAGTTAGGGACGCAGCTCCTCACCTGCTACCCATTTCCATGGTGAGTGAGTGAAGATGCCTGTTCCACCCCCAACCCATCTGCTCTTTGAACCCTTCATCGAAACAGACCCCATTCCCCTTTTACTGCTCCTTTAGGCTTCCTCCGTTCTCTAATACTTCTTTTCTCCCCACCCTCTCCCACCCTCCAGCTTTGTGGGATAGTGGAGATGCCTGTTCGCCCCCCAACCCATCTTCTCTTCGAGCCCTTTATCAAAACAGACCCTATCCGACCGCTGCCAACCGCACAGCAGCAGCAGCAGCAGCAGCAGGAGGAGGAAGAGGAGGGCACATGTGACAATAACGAGGGGTTGGTGTGGGAGGGGAAGCGGCGGTGGGTGGAGGTGACTGTAGGGGTGGTGGGGCATCGGGGCAGGATGAGGGCTCTGGCTCCGAGTGTGACTGTAAAGGAGGCTGGAGACGTGCTTACACTGGAGGAGAAGTTTCAAGGTGAGTATATGTGACTGTAGGGAGTTATGGGTGTGGCTGTTTGTGGTTCTGGAAAGTGGCCTGCTGCTAATGTTCTAGGTTGAAGGAGGGCGAGTGAGTGTTGAAGGAGAGCGAGGGTGAAAACATTGAAAAAAACTGAAAAGGTAAGTAAAACAGGGATCCCCTTCGGGAAAACATTAGAAGCTGTTATCAGCTTGGCTATCAGCCCTTCCCTGTTTCCTCCTCTTGCCCTTCCTTGATGCCTAAATCCCCCTCTTCCCGCATCCTGCATTTCTCGTTTCAGGTGGCACGGGCATCAATCTCACTCCTCCCCCAACGTCCATCATCAGGTATTGACCTCTTATTCACTCAGCTATCAGAACACAACACTCTCTATTCTGAGGTGCTTGGATCTGGCAGAGGGTGCTGCATCTACTTATTGAGACGTCTAAAAAATCAGCTATCAGAACACAACACTCTCTATTCTACGGTGCGTAGATGTGGCAGAGGATGCTTTATTTTTTTGCTTCAAATGTGGCATCAGCACTTTCTGATGCAGAGCTCCTTTTTTTTTTTTCCTTTCTGGGCAGTGCAGGTGCCCAGGATTCAGGACGGAGATTTTACGTCAAATCTTCTATCTGGTCTGCCTTTCACATGTCTATTTATGTCGGATTTCACCTCTGCACCCTTACCAGTGCAAGTGCGCAGGAGGCGGGGCGGAGGCGCATTGAGATGGAGGCCAGTGCTCTCAACATCGACGGTGTCACCTTTGCTGGCCTAGCAAGCAAGCATCTGTCCGTGTGCTCTTGCTTGCCTCTTTCTACCCCCCTGCCAGTGCAAGAGCCCAGGAGGAGGGGCGGAGGCGCATTGAGCTGGTGGCCAGTGCTCTCAACATCGACAGTGTCACTCTTGCCGGCCTAGCAAGCAAGCATCTGTCCGTGTGATCTTGCTTGCCTCTTTCCACCCCCCCTGCCAGTGCAAGTGCGCAGGAGGCGGGGCGGAGGCGCATTGAGATGGTGGCCAATGCTCTCAACATCGACGGCTTCGCCCGGATCGATGCCTTCATGCATGCAGACACCGGCGAGGTAATTTTATTGGAGGAAACTCTACACATTCCGTCCACACTTCTGCATTTCCTTGCAAAATAGTGTTTTTTTTTTTTCCCGTTCCTCACAGTACCAGAGCATGCGTCCTCTCTTTTGTGGTTGGCATGAGCAGGTGATTGTTATTGAGGCTAACACTGTCCCGGGCATGACTCCTTCAACCGTGCTTATGCACCAGGTGCCTTGAAATTCACACCACAAACGTTCACCATACATTCATGATTAGTTTCCTATGCTCACACAGACGGTTTTGTTGGCTGGTTGGTTTGTTTGCTTTTTTCTGCAGGCCCTAGCTGAGTCGCCGCCGATTCGACCACGCGATTTTTTTGCCATGGCAGTTGAGCATGCTCTTGAAAGGCATAGATGATAGTGAAATAGGTGTACCTTACATGAGCTAGAATCTTTCAAAGTGCTACAGTTTCGTGGAGTCTTGAGTTGTTGTGAGGATGTCGATGAGGAACGAGGGAAGTTTTCAGGTGTGATGTCTCGCCCCATGAACATCGCTTCACCAACAGCGTCTACCAATCAGACCGAGGCAGAAGGGTGATGCCAAGGAGGTTGAGGCGCAACGGATGAGATTGCAGGATCTGGGCGAACCCACTGCATATCAACGTAGTGTGCGAAAATGCAACGACATGAGCGAGTTTTCGCGAGGACCTGCCAGACCTCGTCATCCATCGGGATGGTCGCAGCTCGGCATTTTCGAGGTCTTGGGCGACATCAGCAGCCTTGGAGTTATGCTTGCTGATTCTTCTCACATGCTGGCGTCGCACCTGCCTGCCCAATCGTCGCACTTCCTCGCTTTGGGGTCGTCAGCTGTCGCCAGCCACCAGAACCTGGGCTGCATTCTGCGTGCCATGCAGTTCCCCTGCGACACCGCTGGTCGTGCGACAATCGTTGTGTCTTGGCCGTCACACTGTATTCGTTCTAGTGCGACGATTACGGGTCGTCAAGAATCCTGCGAAATTCGTTACATACCTCCTTCCCCTCCATCGCTCTCTTACGATGCCCTGATTCTACACTGCTAGGAGTTGACAGCCATTGTTCGTAGATATTCTGAGTGCATTCCACTATCAGGGGTTTTGTTCCTTCTCGTTCAAGTTCTTTTCTCTCCCAAAAAGCTCAAATCTTTATTTTTTTGTTCCCCTTCCTTCGTGTAAGCTTACCGTAGCAGATAACACGCCGATTTTTTTGGGCCTGTTTCTGAATAACGGAATATTTCCGGCTAATTTTTGTTGCCATCAAGGTTTGGCAGTTTAGACACCAATGGCGTTTTTTACGAGGTTTTAACCGACGCATTTCACACAGGCGATTGCCGTATATGCCACGTTTCCTGACGGTTTGTTTTATCCCGAGGCCGTTTTGTTTAGAAAAATGGCGAATTCTGGGAAAAGTGGACGGAAAGATAAATCGACTTCAGGCCGTCCTTCCGCACAGAAGCAGCGAAAGAGAGGCTCAGATTCCCGAGTGCAGAAAGTCGAGGATCAGTCTAGGGACGAAGCTTCGTTATTGACGGCTTCAGTAACACAACAGAGCACGCTGGAGCATAGCACAGAGAATAAGGAGGACGAAAAGCCAGCGAAGCTCCCTCAAGTTCGGGCCGTAATTCCCGGACCTACGCCTGGATCTCGTGTGACTATAGTGGTGGGAAGTAGTATCCATGAGATCTGCCTCGTTCCGTTGCTGCAAATTAGATGGATCAGGCCGCAGAAGGTCGGACCTGGGTTGCGAAACCTAGGTAACACGTGCTACCTGAACAGCGTGTTACAATGCCTGACGTACACGCCGCCGCTCGCGAATTTCTGCCTGCAGCAGCAGCACACCAAGATCTGTGAGTTCCTGAATGAGGCTTATGTTGATCCCGTCGTTAATGAGTTTCTCTCCGTTGTTGGTGTCACTGATACCGTTAGCTCCAGCCTCTTCGGATAGATATCTGGCAGAAAAGAAATAGCAACACCGAAATAGGAACCGCCTGTTTGTACGCAGTAGCATCAACGAGTGATGGTTAACCTTTTTCCCGTTTAGATTAGCATCACTCGTTCAGACTGGCGCTAGTCAGTTCATATAAACATTTAGACAATTCAGATTAGCATTCAGCCAGTCCAGATTCGCGAGCAGTACGTTCACATTAGCATTCAACCTGTTAAGATCCGCATTTATGCTCTTTAAAGTGGCATTCATTCATTTCAGATTAGACCAGTCAGTCAAAAGCTGGCATTCAACCTCTTCAAATCAGCATTCAGTCAGTTCGGATGAGCATTCAGTCAGTTCAGATGAGCATTTAGTTAGTTCAGATGAGCATTCAGTTAACATTCAGTCAGTTCAGATGAGCATTCAGTCAGTTCAGATGAGCATTCAGTAAACATTCAGTCAGTTCAGATGAGCATTCAGTCAGTTCAGATGAGCATTGAGTCAGTTCAGATGAGCATTTTAGGCAGTCCTATTTAGCTCTCAGTCAGTCCAGATGACATTCAGTCAGCCCAGGTTTACATCAGACAGACGGTTTGGCATAAGGATCAAGTGGAGTCTCATCTTTTAGAGTCAGTAGCTAGTGCATCTCGTCAGTTGTTACAATTAGACGTTAAGTTGAGTTGAGCTTTTGCTTCACGTCTTCTTTCCGCCCTCCTGCTGCTCGTTTAGATGCATCTGCTTCCTTGTAGACGGCCTTCATGTCCTTCTAAACCCCTCTCACTCCCTCCCACCTCTCCCATTCCTCAGGTGCACTTTTGAACCCTGGGGGAACAGCGTCCTGCCCCTTTTGCATTCTCGAGCGCCGTATCGCCCGCTCGTTGACTCTAGAGGCCGCCCGGGACACGCCTAGGGTTGTAGTGAACCGCTTAAAGCTCATTGCCAAGAGCTTCAGTCACGGGCGGCAAGAGGACGCCCATGAGCTGCTTCGATACGCGATAGAAGCATGTAACAGAGCGTGTGTAGCCCTGCACAAAATGGTAGCTGCTGCAGCCGCAGCTGCTGCTGCTTCTGCGGCTGGGAATACTGTTAGTGGGCCGAACGGCAGTCCGGATGTGACTAAATCGGGGCCCTTGAGTCCACTGAACCAGCTGGTGGAAGGGATGTCTCTAAACGAGGGGGCCAGCGTTCAGAAGATGCACACGAGGCGCAGCTCTAGATTATCCCTAGACCGAGCAAACAACGGTAGGGAATCAGCAGAGGGAGGTCCGTTCTCCCAGCAGTTTGCCCCAGACCAGCAGCAGTCCATGCAGTTGGGCCAATTCACAGGCAGTGAGGGATCTCTAGTGCCTCAGTTAGGGGACCCTGTGGAGAACACAGATATGGACGTAGACGTGGACGTAAACGTAGACGTGGACGTAGCAAAAGTGCCTGAACCGTCTGCTGCTTCCGCACCAGCGCCTGCCACAGGATCATCCTCAGCAGCGGCTGTAGCGGATGAGGCGGATGTAGCAGCGGGGGGTAGCAGCAGCAGCGGGGGTGGGAGTGTGCCTAGGAGACGGATGAGCTTGAGAAGGCGAGGGTTCGCCACTGATGGGGAGGAAGAGGAGGACAGGGACGGGGGTTTTGGGCATGCGGGAGCAGGGGCGGGGGCGGGGAGGGGAGGGGGCGGAGGCAGGGCGCGGAAGGGACGGGGAGTAGCGCTGCGGGTAGGGCTGCATGTCCTGCCTGGAAGGGGGAAAGGGCGGGGGGCAGGGGCGGCAGGGGCGGCAGGGGCGGCAGCGGATCAGATTGGCTCACCTGGAAAATCTTCTGGTAGAAGCAAGGGAAGCCCCAGGGGAACAGGGGGAGGAGGCGCAGGTGGGGGCGGAGAAGGAGAGGGAGGGGCAGGGGGGTGTTCAGGTGGTCAGGACGAGCCACATACCATAGTGAAAGAGATTTTTGGAGGGATACTGCAGAGCCAGATTCGGTGCTTGCAGTGTGACGGGGAGTCTAATAAGAGGGATGCGATTCTGGACTTGAGTTTGGACGTGCACAGGCTAGGGTCGCTAAAAGACGCACTTAATAGGTTCACCAAGCCGGAGGTGCTGGATGGGGAGAATAGATACCGGTGTGATAAATGCAACCGGCTGTCTGCTGCGCGGAAGGCGCTGACGATCTTTCATGCGCCCAACATTCTTGTCATTCAGTTCAAGGTACAAACTGGATTGTAGGCTTACCTGCAGCTGCTGCACCTCCCACGCTGTGACCTGCCTGTTCTGTCTGCTGTGCGAAAGGCTCTGATGATCTTTCATGCGCCCTGCGTTCTTGTCTTGATAACTTTTTGCCTGCATTCTTGATGTTTGTGTGCTTGCTTGCTTACGTGCTTGCATCCTTGCCCTCCTGACCGCAGAGGTTTGAGAACGTGTTTGGAGGGAAGATTGACCGGCACATTCGATTCGAGGAGCGCGTCTCGTTGAAAGGCCACATGAGCGGCTGTAGCAAGGTGGGTTCAAGCGATGAGCGGCTGTAGCAAGGTGGGTTCAAGCGATGAGCGGCTGTAGCAAGGTGGGTTCAAGCGATGAGCGGCTGTAGCAAGGTGGGTCCAAGCGATGAGCGGCTGTAGCAAGGTGGGTCCAAGCGATGAGCGGCTGTAGCAAGGTGGGTCCAAGCGATGAGCGGCTGTAGCAAGGTGGGTCCAAGCACATGAGCGGCTGTAGCAAGGTGGGTTCAAGCACATGAGAGTACATTCTTTGTAACACCCATTCGCGTGTTACCTGCTGCCAACTGTATTCTCCCCCGCTTCCCTATTCCCTGCGATCATTGTTCTCAGGGTTTCCAGTTAGAGTACACTCTATTTGACGAATACATCTGCTCGTTGCTCACATGCTGCCTTTTCTACCCACCCCGCCACCCCGCTCCCTGCTATCATCCCTCTCAGGATACCCAGCCAGAGTACACGCTCTTTGGAGTGGTGGTGCATGCAGGGTCGTCTCAAGACTCGGGCCATTACTATGCATATGTCAAGGTAGTTACACCGTACACTGCTATGCTTGTGTCAAGTCAAGGTGACTTCTTAGTTGACTCAATTGTCACCTTTTCCTAAGACTCGGGGCATTACTATGCATATATCAAGGCAGGTATACTGCTATGCATATATCAAGGCAGGTATACTGCTATGCATATATCAAGGCAGGTATACTGCTATGCATATATCAAGGCAGGTATACTGCTATGTAGGGTTGAGCAAAAAAACGAACACCTGTTCGGTTCGCCTCGAACACGTTCGAGGCGAACCGAACAGGTTTTTTTTTTTGGCTTAAAATGTTCGCCGAACAGTGTTCGATGTTCGCCCGAACACGTTCGTGTTCGGGCCGCTGCTGCAATTTGCCCGCGACGAACACGAACAGTGTTCGAGGTTCGCCCGAACACGCCTTCACAGGCGAACGGCGAACACCATTTTTTGCTCAAAGTGTTCGCCGAACCGAACACTGTTCGGTTCGGCAAACGAAGGTGTTCGTGTAGGGGCGAACACGAACACGTTCGTGTTCGCCACTTGCTCATCCCTACTGCTATGCATATATCAAGGCAGGTATACTGCTATGCATATATCAAGGCAGGTATACTGCTATGCATATATCAAGGCAGGTATACTGCTATACATATATCAAGGCAGGTATACTGCTATGCATATATCAAGGCAGGTATACTGCTATGCATATATCAAGGCAGGTATACTGCTATACATATATCAAGGCAGGTATACTGCTATGCTTATGTGGATGTACGTGGAGATTATGTCGAGGCGAGTGGTTGTGCTACTCTGTCTCCCTTTGCCTTACCTATCAGGCAACACGGCCTGCGTGCTGTTCTGCCTCCTCCCCTCCTCCCGTCGTTCTCCCCCCCCCCTTCTTCCCTCCCCTCCACCCCCCACCCTCCTCCCCACAACTCCCTCCCTTCCCCCCCCAGGACTCCACGGGCAAGTGGTCCTGCTGTGACGACTGCTCCGTCTCCCCAGTGGCCTCCCTATCAGGCAACACGGCTTGCACCCTCTTATTCTATAACTCCCCGCTTGCTACATCCGTTCCCTTCCCCCCGGGACTCCACGGGCAGGTGGTCCTGCTGTGACGACTGCTCCGTCTCCCCAGTGGCCTCCCTATCAGGCAACACGGCTTGCACCCTCTTATTCTATAACTCCCCGCTTGCTACATCCGTTCCCTTCCCCCCAGGACTCCACGGGCAAGTGGTCCTGCTGTGACGACTGCTCCGTCTCCCCAGTCGCCCTCCCAGACGTCCTAGCAGACAAGGCCTACATGCTTTTCTACCTCCGCGTCTCCCCTCGCCCCCCCGGATCCACCTCCCTCTCCTCCCTCTCCTCGCCCACCTCCCCTCGCCCCTCCCACCGCGCGCCCGCTCCCCTGTCTCTTGATCATACCAACAAGTCTCCTCTCTCTCCCTCTCGGTCTGGGAAGCTCGCTGCTCGCCGCCTGAGTGCGGACCTGCAGCTGTCATCTGCTGCTGCAGCAGCTGCTGCTTCTGCTGGCGCTGGTGTTGCTGCTGCCGGGGCCGGCGCTGGGGTTGCTGATTGTCTTGATGCTGCTACAGCTGCTACAGCCTCCCCACCTGGCCGCTGCACTGCCCTTCCTGTGCATGCTGCCTTCCCGTCAGAACCCTGTGTAGCAGGCGCCAAGCCAGAACCACTAGAGACGGCAGCAGCACCTGGTCCCCTGTCAGAAGCGGGTTACATGGTTACACATGAGCCATCACCAAACCCTGTGGAGCTACCAGCAGCAGCCGAGCAAGCAGAGGGAGAAGTAGATGCAGAGGGGGAAGATGTAGATGGGGAGGCAGAAGAAGTGGCAGAGCCGCAGGGAGAAGCAGAAACAGAGTTACAAGGAGAGGCGGTTTTGGCAATGGCAGATCTAGTAGGGTCCCGGGCAGGTGAAGGTGCAGGTGGGGCTTTACCTAAAGCCGTGTCTGCACTTGCAGCCTTGGGGTTAGTGAGGAGGAGCGTTGCTGCTGCTGCTCCTGCTCTTGCCGTGCCTGGTGCTGCTCCTGTTGCTGCTTCTGTTGCTCCTCCTGCTGCTGCTCCTGCTGTTCTTCCTCCTCCTGCTGCTTCTGCTGCTCCTGTTATTGCTCTTCCCACTGCTTCTGCGGTTGCTCCTGAGTCTGCTGCTGCTCTAACAGCTGCTGCAGCTGCTTCAGGTGATGAAAGCGGGCGAAGGAGGGAGAGCAGCAGCCGGGGGAAAAGCATTGAGAAGCATGGGGTGGTTTGCGGGGTTAAGAGAGTGACTCTGGTGAAGAAGATTGCAGATCTCGCAGCAGACGCATCTACTGCTGCTGCGCCCCATTACATTTCTGTACCTGATGAGCCTGCTATGCATGCTGGTGCTGCTGCTCCCGCTTCTGCTACTGCTGCTCCTGCATCTAGTGCTGCTGCAGCAGCACCCCTGGAAGGTGAGTATCCAACGGCAGGTGCAGCACCTCACTTGGATAGTAGGGCGCTAACCTCAGATGCAGCGGCGCTCCTAGACGCCAAGGAGCCAAGGGCAGGTGCAGGAGTTATGTTGGACAGGGCGCTAACCTCAGATGCAGCAGCTTTCCTAGACGCCAAGGAGCCAAGGGCAGGTGCAGGAGTTATGTTGGACAGGGCGCTAAGCTCAGGTGTAACTGCTGCCCTGGATGGTAGCGAGTCAAGGACAGGTGCAGCAGGGTGTGCGCGAACGGCAGCTGCAGTCAGCAGCAAGCGCGTTCCAGGGGCAGCAGCAGCAGCAGCAGCACCAGCAGCGGCTGCAGCAGTGGCACTAGCAGCGCCACAAGTAGCAGCGGCAGCGGCAGAAGCAGTTGTGGGGTTGGTGATTTCAGGTGCGACGGGTGCCAACCCTGCAGCACAGGCAGTTGTGTTGGCAGAAACTTCTGCTACATTAGCAGCAGCACAGGCTGAGTTATCACCGGGAAAAGCTGCTACGTTAGCAGCTTTTGCAGGGGTTTCCACTTGCCCAGGTGTGGCAGCACATACTGAAACAGCTGCTTTATCGAGCACAGCGGGACTTGAACCCGCGACCTTTCAAGTCACAGCGAGTGGGAGCCAAGCTGCAGAGCCTGTTTCGAGGGAGGACACGTCAGGGGCGTCTGTGCCCCACGAAATGGTTGAGAGGGACGAGGGGCATAGATTTGGATTGTCTCAGAATGCGTCTGTCTCCCACAAGGCTGGCACTGAGAGGTCTCACTGGAAGGAGGGGGTAGAGAGAGATGAGGGCCTGACGGATGGGGATACAGGGAGGGATAGCGGAATGGAATGCGAAGAGGGGAAGGATGTGGGCTGCCTCGCGGGCTGGTTGGAGTGCAGGGAAGAAGACCTGGTGGAGGAGAGGGAGGCCCTAGTAGGTGATGTGGCTGCAGGAGGAGTGACAGCAGAGGGGGAAGCAGGAGCGAGGGAAACAGCAGAGGTGGGGTCGACAATGGAGAAAACAACAAAAGGGGGAGCAGCAGCGGAGGAAAAAGCAGAAGGGGAAATATCAGAGGGAGAAGCAGGAGAGGGAGCGATGGAAGGCAATGTTGGTGAAGTCAAAACCCACGAGGAGGGCATTAGTGCAAGGCATTGGGAAAAAGAGGAGTTGAAAGAAGAGTCGAACGGCGAGGGTGTGTCTGGAAGGGAAGGGTTAAGGGATGAGACGTTGAGGGAGGAAGTAGCATTGGGAGAGGAGGTTTTTGAGACAGCGTTGGGAGAGGAAGATTTTATTGAGGAGATTGCTCAACAGAAGCTGGTTGTGGTGCACCCAAGTGCTCCGAGTGCTTCTGCTGCTGTTGCTGCTGATTTTTCTCCTCCTCCCGCTACCCTTCCTCCTGCTGCTGCTGCTGCCACTGCTGCCGCTGCTGCTGCCTTTGTGGATTTTGTGCTACCTTCTCATCGTTCTCCACATCCTCCTCCTCTTCCTAACCCTCAATTACCTCCTTCTGTTCCTTCTTCCATTCCTTGTCTGTCACCTTCTGCTCCAAATTCAAATTCTCACCTGTCATCCCTTTGTCCTTCTCCACATCAGCCTCTTCCTACTCTTCGTGTCTCTCCTCCTCTCGCGTCTGCTCCACTTTCTCCTGCGCTACCATCCGCAACAACTCTATCGCCTGCACTACCTGCTCCGTTTGCCTCTAGCAACGCTATTCCTAGCTCTTTTGTCAGTTCTGTAGCATATTCCGAGGCTGTTTTTCCTGGACCCAGGGAGGAAAGTGCGGTTGGAATAGTGGAGCCTGCTACTAACGAGGATGGAATTCCTGGCAAAGTTATCATTAGCCACAAGGGCATTACAGGCAGAGCAGAGCCATTAGCAATGGCAGGTGGGGCAGCAGTCAGTAGTTCTGCGGTGGCTGCTCAAGCAAGGGGGAACCTAGCTACTGCTGCAGATCAGGCAGTGACAGTAGCACGCACACCATGCCCAGTCAAGGCAGAATCAGACCTCCTGAATCTTCCTGCGTCCGATGTGTTGCAGTCAGACAGGTTTTGGGGTGATCTGGTTTATGGGCGAGTGGCAGGAGGAGTAGGTCCTGTGGGCGTAGCGGCAGTGACTCTTGAAACGTCTCCAAACTCTTTTGAGGGTAGGGCGGTTTCTGGATCTGGGCCGTATGGGCAAGTGGCGGGAGGAGTTGCTCCTGTGGGCGTAGCGGCAGTGATGGCGGCTACAGCTGTGTCGACCCAGTCTGAACAGGGGCAGCAGCTGCAGCTGATTCGCAATCACCAGCAGCCTGTTTTTGAGGCGCCTCACAGATCGACCCATTTCGAGCAAGGGCAGCAGCAGTTGATGCTCGATCAGCAGCAGCAGCAGCAGCCGCAACAGTTGGTGCTGCATCAAAAGCAGCAGCAGCTGGTGATATTGCATCAGCAACAGCATCAGCAGCCGCATCAGCAGCACCTGGGAGGGCAGCTGCTGCAGCAACAGGTGCTCCATCAACAGCAGCAACAGGCGCAGCAGCAGCAGCAACATCCGTCCCTGCAGCTGGTACAGTCACTCACTGCCCCTGTCGCTGCCCCTTCCCCTGCCCCTGTCCCTGTAATTGCCCCTCTCCCTGTCCCTGCTTCTCTTCCTATTCCTGCCGCTTTTTCTGCCCTTCTCCCTGCCCCACTCCCTGCCTTTTCCCAGCCGCCCACATGCACGCGCTTGGTGCTCCCTCCAATGGCATGGCGCCCTTCACACTCCCCCCACCAAAAGACCCATTCACATCCCCCCCAGCACCTTTCACAACTGCCGCAGCAACAACGTCTGTCACACCCCCCCCAGCACCTTTCACAGCTGCCTCAATCCCAGCAACAACCACCCCTCCCACACTCCCCCAAACAAAAGCTAATCTCACACCTCTCCCAACAGAAAGCTCTTTTGCATTCCCCTGAGCAGAAGGCTTCCTCACAGTTCCCGCAGCAAGTGCCTTTTGAACCGATTCCAACCGTTTTGTCACACCCCACACCGCAACAAGCGCCTTTCCAGTCAAACACTGCTGCATCTGCCGTTTCGCACCCCACAGAGCAGCATCAACTGCCCTGTCAGTCATCATTCCCCACCGTGTTCCCACAGGCTGCCCAACAGATGCCCCTCAAACCGATTTCAACCGTTCTGACCCACCCCACACAGCAGCAGGAGCAATTGCCCTGTCAGTCATCATTCCCCACCGTGTTTCAACAGGCTGCACATCCGATGCCGTTTGAATCAATCCCAAACGTTCTGCTGCTGAGCGGGCAGCAACCGCAACACCCTTTTAACTCAGGCAGTGCTGCAACTGCCGCTTCACACCCAACGCAGCAGCTACTGCCTGTACTGGCAGCCTCAACGGTATTTTCACAGCCCCTGCCGCAGGTGCCTCTTGAGAAAGTCTCGGATGCTGCATCACTCCCCGCGCAGCAGCAGCAGCAACAGCCGTGTGAGTCATTCCGAGTGCCGTTTCAACAGCCCACGCGGAAGATAAACCAGCTACAGCAGCTGCCTCGTGAACGGATTGCTGTTGCACACCCCATGCAACAGCAGCAGCAACAGCCGTGTGAGTCGTTCCCTGTGGTGTTGCATCATCATCCCTTGCACCAGGCAGATCAGCCACAGAAGCTGCCTGCTGAACGGATTTCGAACGCTGTATCACTCCCCACACAGAAGCAGCAACAACAGTGTGAGTCGTTTCCTGTTGGGTTTCAACAGCCCCCGCACCAGATGGAGCAATCACCGATTTCGAATGTCGTGCCTCTCCCGGCGCTGCAGCAGCAGCAGCAGCAATTGCCATGTGAGTCGTTTCCTGTGGTGTTCCAACAGCCACCGCATCAGATAGACCAGCTGCAGCAAGTGCCTCGTGAACGCATCTCAAATGCTGTAACACACACCACGCAGCAACAGTTGCAGCAGCAGCAATTGCCATGTGAGTCGTTTCCGGTGGTGTTCCAACAGCCGCCGCATCAGATCGAGCAGCTACAGCAGGTGCCTCTTGAATTGATTGAAAAGGTTCTGGCACGGCGCATGCAGCAGCAGCAACAGCTGGAGCAGCAGCGACAGCAGCAGCAGCAGCAACAAGAACAACAGCCGCAGCATCAACAGCCGCAGCAACAGCATCAGCAACAACAGCAGCAGCAACAGCAACAGCAACAACAGTCACAGCAGCAACAACAGCAGCAGCAGCAGCGACAGGAACAGCAGCAACAGCAGCAGCAGCCGCAGCAGCAACAGCTGCAACAACAGCAACAGCAGTCACAGCCGGAACAACAGCAGCAACAGCAGCAACGACAGCAGCAACAGCAGCAGCAACAGCAACAACAGCAGCAACAGCAGCAACGACAGCAGCAACAGGAGCAACAACCGCAACAACAGCAACAGCAGCAACGACAACAGCAGCAGCAGCAGCAGCAGCAACAGCAACAACCGCAGCAGCCACACCTGCAGCAACCACAGCAACAGCAGCAGCAGCAGCAAGCTTCGTTTTCCCAAATCCCATCACCTGTTTCTGTCAAAGTTTGTAGGTCAGTAGAGGGATCGATAGTATCACACCTGGTGCAGTCACCTCCCTCTCTGCCTGTCGCCCCTCCGCAACTTCTCACCCGGTCAAGGAGAGCAGCCGCTGCTGCTGCTGCTGCTGCCGCCGCATCAGGAGCAGCAGCAAGGGAAGCTGTAGCGGCTACAACTGCTGTGGCAGAAGCAGGGAGGCCTGTAGCTGAAGTGAAGGTAGAGAGAGTGAGCAAAAGAAGCATCAATACTTACAGTCGAATCCAGTCTTGCCCCCCCGCTATTGCTGACCTGGCATCATGCGATCACACGTCACTCTCTGACGGCTCTGGGCCAGCTGCTGAGTCGGCAGCTGACGTGGCACCAGCTGGTGATGCCACGTCATCACGATCAAGAGCACGCGCTGCTGTCCCGCTACCTCCACGCGCCAAGCTTCCCCGGGCGGCAAAGTCGAACCGTGTCGGGACCGTTGAGCTCATCAGCGGTAGAGTGTCCACGTCAGCGGCTCACCTGCCAGGTCAGACCTCCGTTTCGGCAGCTCAGGCGTCGACCTCGCCACCTCAGAGGCGCCTGGGATTGAAGCAGGTGAATCTGAAGGAGAGAGTGAAGGCGGAAAAGGCAGCAGAGGCTAGGGTTCGGGAGGTAGGAGTGAGATACGCTGCTGTTGCAGATGTGGGCTTTAGAAGTGGTGGTGCTGGGGACGCTGGGGGCGTTGGGGGCGTTGGGGGCGTTGGGGGAGGGGTTGTTGGTGTTGACGGTGTTGTGGGAGTGGGCGTCGGGGGAAGAGATGTTGGGGGTGCTGGTGGTAGTGGTGGTGGGGTTTCTGGTGCCATGGCCACCACATATGCGGATGACTCTGGTGGTGGTGTTGGCACAGGTTTGAAAGGTGCCGATACTACTGCTGCTGGTGATCGTGGCACAAACGTTCAAGATGCGACCAATGCAGCAGCTGCTGCTGGTGGTGGTGGTGGCGGCAGTGGTGGTGATGGGGACGGCGGCGGTGGCACAGGCATTACAGGTGCTGATAACTGTGCTGATGTGGTTGCTGCTGCTGGTTGTGGTGGCGGTGGTGCTGGTGGTAGTGGCAATGCAAACATTAAACCTGTGGATTCGGGAAGCACTGTTGTCAATGGTTTAGGGTTACACAATGATGACTCTGTCAGAGGCCCGACTAGTGGTAATGTGGACAGTAGAAACTTCACTGGTGGTGGTGGTGGTGGCGGGGGCGTTCGAGACGTGAATGGTCGTGGCAGTGGTATCAGAGGCGCGGAGTTTTCTGGCCAAGGTATCAGAGACAGTTGGGGAGACATCAGTTCTGCCGTTCAGGGCGTCACAGCCGTCAACTCTGTCAATGAGGGCGGTAGGGGTGCCGATTCTGCCATCCAGGAGGGTAGAGGCGCGGATTCTCGGGACTGGACAGGTGGGGATAGGCTGGGTGAACTGAATGCTCTTGCGGCGCATGAGAAGGCAGATGTGAAGGCTTGGACAGGCGCGGGTAAGAGGGCTGATGTGAAGCCTTTTGAGACACCTCAGGAAGCGGATTCTCTGGCTTGGACTGCAGCAGGTAGGTGGGCGGAGGTGCAATGGAGTGCTGAAGACGAGAGGTGTCTGCTTGCCGCTACTGAAGAGCTGGATGGAGATTTTGAGGGCGAATTGAGTGGTTTAGGAGAGGGTTTGGGAGAGGGTTTTGATGGGGATTTGGAAGGGTGTTTGGGTCAAGATTTAGGGGATTTTGGGTTTGGGGAGGCGGATTTTCTTGACTTGCCTTGGGCAGATGTGGTTGTTCCGGGTGTGGCTGTGGCGAATGGTGCCGCTGCTACAAGTGTGACTGAATTGCCAGGTACTGCTGCTTCTCATGATGTGACTATGGCACAGGAGGCTGTCACAGGTGTGACCGTACTAAATGTGACTGGAATGCAGGTTTCTGCTTCTCATGATGTGATTGTGGCACAGGGGGCTGTCATGGCTGCTGCTGCTGTGAATGTGACTCTAGCAGGTGTGGCTGTAGCACAGGGGGCAGATACAGATGTGACTTCTGTGAATGTGACTGTAGCAGGTGTGGACGGGGCACAGGGGGTTGCTAATGGTGCTGTGGCTGTGACTGTAACGGGTGTAACTTCAGAGGCCCTTGGTTCAAGTGCAGGGGCAGGAGCAGCAGGGGCAGAAACAGCAGGTGGGGAAGCAGCGGGGGCAGAAGCAGCAGGGGGAGAAGCAGGAGGGGAAGAAGCAGCAGGGGCACACTCCTCACCTGCTCAGGTGCCGTTTCAGGTGGATGTGGGTGGTCAAGTGGATAGTCAGGTGGGTGCGCAATCATTACGGGCTGCTTTGGGAAACAAGCCTGATACTTATGTTGTGCGCTCAGCTGTTTCTTCTGTTGTCGCTTCTGCTGCACCACTGGCACCTTTTGTCTCTTCTGTTCCACAGGTACCAGTTAATTCTCCCATGTTTGCAGCGTCACCTTTTGCTCCTGCCGAGTTCGCCCTAAATAATGACCCACACACAGTTGCCACCTCCCCCCAAACAGTTGTCACCCTCTCCCACGCAGTTGCCACCTCCCTGCATACAGTTGCCACCTCCCCCCATACAGTTACCACCTCCCTCCACACAGTCACCACCTCCCCCCACACAGTTGCCACCTCCCCTCTCACAGTTACCACCTCCCCTCCCCCTAACATGGTTGCCTCCCCCAGTGCTGTAACTCTCCCCCTCTCTTCCCCCGACCCCCTCTCCCCCCAAGTCCCCCCTTCCCCCGCTCCCCCCACCCGAGTGCCCCCGCACTCTAGCCCCCCTTGGGCGCTTGTTGAGACAGCAGGGGCGCAGGGGGGCGGAGATGGGGCGCAGGGGGATAAAGATGCTGGGGAAGCGGGTGGGGATGCAGGGGGAATTGGTGGACATGCAGGGGAGAACGGGGAAGAGTTTGGGAAAGAAACCGGGGGGTTGGAGGGAGAGGAAGCAGAGGAGGGCGGGGAGAAGCGGGAAGTGCGTCAGGCGGAGGATGAGGAGAGGGACGGGAAGGAGGAGAAGGAAGAGGAGGAGGAAATGAGAGGGGAGGAGCAAGACGAAGGGGAAGAGCAGAAGGGAGTGCATGGAGGAGAGGAGGAGGCGAGGAAGAGAGAGAGGGAAGAGGAGCAAGAGGAGGGGGGGAGGGACGAGGGGCAAAAGGAGGAAAGGAGAGTTATGGAGTTGACTGTACTAGGGGAGAGTAAGAGGGAGAAAGGGGCAGGAAGTGGGGAACGAGAGGGTGGTGTAAGAAGAGAGGGCGAGGAGGAAGAAGTGGAGGAGGAGGAAGTGGATGGAGAGGTGGAGGAGATAATGTGTATGGACGAGGATAAGGTGGAAGAGGTGGAAGAGGAAAAACAGAAGGAGGAAAAAGAGGAAAAAGAGGAGGTTGAAGAGGAGGGACTAAATGTGGAGATGGAGGAGTTGGAGAAGAAGGAAGAGGAGAAGGAAGAGGGGGTGGAGGAGGAAGAGGAGAAAACGCAGGAAGAGGAAGAGGTTACTGACTTCGCATCAGCTGATGACATGGCTATTGCTGAGAATCGTGGTGATGACGTGGAGGCTCTAAACAGTGAGGATGATGACGTGGTGGAAGTACCTATGGATCAGGAACAGGAGCAGCTGATGTGGCATCTTCGTGGGAATGTCAATCTAGGTGTTGCCACTAGTAGTAGTCATGCTGCTGCTGCGAGGAACGAAATCACTGCTGGTGAAGCAGGAGAGGGAGAAGCAGCAGAAAGGGTGGCCGCAGAACGAGAGGCAGCAGAAAGAGAGGCAGCAGAGAGAGAGGCAGCAGAAAGGGAGACAGCAGAGAGAGAGGCAGCAGAAAGGGAGGCTGCAGAGAGGGAGGCAGCAGAGAGGGAGGCAGTAGAGAGAGAGGCAGCAGAAAGAGATGCAGCAGAAAGAGATGCAGCAGAAAGAGATGCAGCAGAGCGAGAGGCAGCAGGGAGAGAGGCAGCAAACAGAGAGGCAGCAGAGAGGGAGGCAGCAGACAGTGAGGCTGAAAAGAGAGCGGCAGCAGAGGAACGAGCAGGAGAAGAAGCAGAGACAGCAGAGGGGGCAGAGGCAGGAGAGGGGGCAGAGGGGGCAGGGAGGGCAGAGGGAGCAGAGGAGGCAGAGGTTGCAAAGGGGGCAGAACGGGGAGAGGGGACAGAGGCAGCAGAGGAGGCAGAGTCAACAGAAGAAGCAGCGGTAGCACAAGGGACAAAAATGAGGGGTTCTGGGAAACAGGAGGCCACCGTTTTTCTGTCTTTGCCTTTGCCAACTCCGGAATCCCACAAGGCACCTGGGACCTTTGACCAAAGATGCTCAGCAGCTGAGGTGACTTTTGAGTCGACTCAAAAGCCAACTCATGAGTCGACTCAAAAGCCATCCCACAAGGCACCTGGGACCTTTGACCAAAGATGCTCAGCAGCTGAGCCTACTCAACAGCAGGAATGCACAGCTTTTGTTGATCCGACTCAACAGCAGGTTTCAGAATCCCAGTCTTACAAGCCGCCTGTGCTGCAAGTGCAGGCTGTAGAGTCGCACAAGCCACCTATGACCTCTGGGCGCCAGCAGGAATGCACGTCTTTTGTTGAGCCGACTCAACAGCAGGTTCCGGAATCTCAGTCTCACAAGCCACCTGTCACCTTTCAGCTACACCAGGAATTCGCAAGTGTGGCAGCTGCTGCAGTCGCTTTTGATCCAAGTTACGGTGTTACCAACCAGATGTATCACCTGCAATCCGTGGCTCTGGGTAAGGGTAAAGAGGTGAGGCCCGCTAATGTGACACTCCCTGAGTCAGATGTTACCATTCGGATGCATCATCTGCAATCCGTGGCACTGGATAAGGGCAGTAAGTTGAAGCTGACTGCTGGTATGGCACTCTTTGGGGCAGATGTTGCCAGCAGAGCAGCCGACGTGGCCAGCAGAGCAGCTGACATGGCGAGCAAAGCAGCTGACGTGGCGAGCAATGCAGCTGACGTGGCTGCACCTGAGGCTGACGGGGTTGAGAGGGCAGTTGATGTGGCAGAAGTGGATGTTGCAGCAGGAGAGGCAGCAGAGGAAGAAAGTTTGTCTCCGTCTCTCTCCTCCTTCCCATCCCCCTTCGCATGCTTCTCATCCTCTCCCCTCTCTTCTCAGTCTCTCCCCTGCCCTCCTTTGCCTTCCCCTTCCTTCCCTTCTCCTAGCGCCTGTATAGAGATGTGGCCTGTTGCAGAAGCGACCTTTGCTCCTCCCTCTACTCTCCCTTCCTCCCTTCCATCCTCTCTTCCATCCTCCCTTTCCTCCTTCCCCTCCACCCTCCCAGCCTCCTTTCCTTCCTCTGCTCCGTCCTCCTTCCCGTCTTCCCTTCCCTCCTCGCTCCCCTCCTCTCTCCCCTCTTCGCTCCCACCCTCGCTTCCCTCCTCTTTCCCCACCTCCTCCCCTACCGCCTCCCCTCCTTTCTCCCCGCCTCCCCTATCCCACACCCCTGTGGATGTTTTCTCGTTTTACAAAGCATGGGCACAGCGTAATGGCCCTGGCACTTACCTAAGTGCAAGCGCGGCAGTGGGGGAAATGCAGGGAACGGGAAGGGGAGTTGGGAAGGAAGAGGAGGAGGGGACAGCTGTAGGTAGTCAGATGAGAGCTAGGGAGAAGCAGGAGGAGGAGAAAGTTGAGAAGCAGGAGGAGGAGAAGGAGGAGAAGCAGGAGAAGGAAGAGGAGGAGAGGGAAGAGGAGGAGAAGGAAGAGAAGGAGGAGCATGCGGAGGAGGAGGAGAAAGTGGAGGAGATGGTGTGGGGAAGAGATGGGCAGGCACAGCATAAGGTACATTCGGAGCAGCAGGAGGAGGTAAAGACACAGGAGCAAGAGAAGTGGCAGGAGCGACAGGAGGAGGAGAAGGAAGAGAAACAGGAGCAGGAGGCGCAGGAGAGGCGACAGGAGCGACAGGAGGAGGAGGAGGTAGAGGAGCAGCAGCAGGAGGAGCAAGAGGAACGGAAGCAGCCGGTGCTGCAGGAAGAGGAGCAGGAGCAGCAGCAAGAGGGGCGGCAGGAGCAGGAAGGCCAAATGCTGCAGGAGGAGGAACTGGAGCAGCGGCAGGGCGGAGAGGAGCAGCAGCAGGGCGAGAGACAGCAGCAGAGGCAGGAGCAGCAGGAGGGGCAGGAGAAGCAGGAGGAACAGCAGATGCAGGAGGAACAGGAGCAGCAGCAGGGAGATGGGCAGCAGCAGCAGCAGCAGCAGCAGCAGGCTCAGGGTGAGCAGGTTTTTGCAGAGCAACATGAGGAGGTGGGAGAAGAGGAGGCGGAGGAAGGGGAGGAGATGGAGGAGGAAGAGGAAGAGGAGGAGGAGGAGGAGGCAGAAGTCTTAGATGTGGATTGGGTCGGATACGAGGAGGTGTGGGAGGGGAGGGGCGGGCGGACAAGTGTCAAGCAAGGGAGGGAGAGAGAGGAGGAGAGTGAGGGTGGGGACCTAGACGAGGAAGGGGATGGGGGAGAGGGGGGAGGGGAGGAGGAGGAAGAGGAAGATGTGGCGAGTGATGTGACTGAAGCAGCTGCTTCGGATGAGGTGGAGTGGGAGTCGTGTCATGCAGTGATGGATGCTTCTGTGATAGACTCTGAGCCGCCGCCGCTGCCGCCACAAGATGCTGCTGCTGCTGCTGCTGGTGGTGGTAATGCTGTTCATCTGCTTCTCACTAGTGCTGCTGGTCCTGCTGCTGCTGTAACTGCTGTTGCTGCGGCTGCTGGTGTTACTGCGACTGCTGCTTCTGCTGTAGCTGTTGCTGCTGCGGTTGCTGGTGTTACTGGTGCAGCTACTGCGGCTGCTGGCATGGTTGTAGCTGGTGTTACTGGTGCGGCTGCTAGTGAAGGGCTTATAAACGGTTCAAGGTTTATGGGGGGTGTAGGGTTTATGGAGGAGCTAGGGGGTGCGTTTGAAGCTCCCAAGACCCCTCAAGCGGATGACGAGAGTGGTGAGGTGAGGGAATGGAAGAGAGGGAAACACGGAGAGGAGGAAGAGGAGGAGGAGGATGAAGAGGAGGAAAAGAGGGAGCTAGAGCAGGAGCAAGAGGATGAACAGAAGGAGGTAGAGCAGGGAAGGGAGAAAGAAGTGAGCTGGCACAGTGAAAGCGGGAATGTTCTTGAAGATGTCGCTGCAGAGGAAGTGGCAGCAGTGATGGAAGGGGCAGCTGACGTGGCAACAGCTCATGTGGGAGTTGATGTGACGGCAGCTGATGTGGCAGTTGACATTGTGGCAAATACAGCAATAGATCCAGCAGCTGAGGCATCAACCGGTCTTCAAGCAGAGATAGAAGCAGAGGCGGGCGAAACTGAAGCTAAAGTAGCTGTAGGGACAGCATTGGAATCACAAGTAGGTGAAGAGACAGCAGGATCAGAAGCAGGAGCAGGGCTAGAAACAGAGTTCATAGCAGAAGCAGGAGAAGTGGCAGCAACCGATCTTGTGGGAGAGGTAGAAGGAGAAGCAGAAGGTGAAGCAGAAGGAGAAGCTGAAGTTAAAGTAGCTGCAGGGGACACGTTGGGGTCAGAAGTGGGTGGAGAAGCAGCAGAAACAGAAGCAGGAGAAGAGTTGGAGGCAGAGTTAGCAGGCCGAGCAGTGGAGTTTGAAGCAGGAGCAGACTTGGGGGACGAAGTAGGTGCAGAGGCAACAGATTGGGAGTTAGAAGCAGGAGCAGAGTTGGCGATAGAAGGAGGAGGAAAAGTAGAAGCAGGAGTAGATTTGCAAACAGAGTTAACAGCAGGAGTAGGCGAATCGGAAGCAGGTGTAAAGCTCGAAGCAGAGTTAGCAGCGGTAGGAGCTGCAATAGAGGCGGAGGAAGCTGCAGAAGCAGCAGAATATGAAGCAGGAGCAGAAATTGAGGCAGTGGTAGCAGCAGGAGCTGAGGCTGAAGCAGAAATGGGAATGGAGAGAGGAGAGGAGGGAACAGAAGCAGAAGCAGAAGAAGCTGACTTAGCAGCAGACGAGGAAGCTGTGCGGCTAGGAGAGGCTGGGGTGGAGGCTGAAGCACAAGCAGGAGCAGAAGAATATGAGTTTCCAGCAGATGGTGAGGCAGAAGTAAGAGCAGACGGAGAAGCTATGCTAGAGGGAGAGGCTGGGGTAGAGGCAGAGGGAGAAGCAGTGGCAGTAGAAACCGCAACAGCAGCAGATGCAGCAGCAGGCGTAGCAGTAGCAGCGCTTGTAGAGGCAGAAGTAATAGTAGATGCGGAAGCTATGCTAGAGGGAGAGGCTGAGGTGGAGGCAGAGGGAGAAGCAGAGGGAGAGGCAGAGGAAGAAGCAGGGGGAGAGGAAGTCGCAACAGCAGCAGGCGTAGCAGCTGGTGCGGAAGCAGAGACAGCGACCAAAGTTCAAGCAGCCGAAGAAGCTATGCTGCAGGAAGCGGTTGGGGTGGAGGTAGGAGCAGAAGCAGAGGCAGAGGGATGGACTGAGGCAGATATAGAGGCACAGGGGGGGGCAGAGGGAGAGGCAGGGGCAGAAGGAGAGGCAGAGGCAGATGGAGAGGCAGAGATAGAGGCTGAGACAGGGGTAGAGGGAGAGGGAGAGGGAGAGGGAGGGGGAGAGGGAGAGGCAGAGGCAGAGGCAGATGTAGAGGCAGAGACAGGGGCAGTGGGAGAGGGAGAGGGAGAGGGAGAGGGAGAGGGAGAGGGAGAGGAAGAGGGAGAGGGAGAGGGAGAGGAAGAGGGAGAGGGAGTGGCAGAGGCAGAGGCAGAGGGAGAGGCAGAAGCTGAGACAGAGGCAGGAGCAGAGGCAGATGCAGATGCAGAGAGAGAGGCAGAGGGAGAGGCGAAGGGAGAGGGTGAGGCAGAGATGGGTGTGTACTTGGAAACAGGTTATGGAACACGAGAAGCTGTTGGTATGGAGGCAGAGGGAGCAGAGGAAATGGAGGTAGGAGGAGAGGAAGTAGAGGAAGGAGGAGAAGAAGTAGAGGAAGGAGGAGAGGAAGTGGAGGGAGGAAAACAGGAGGTGGAGGGAGGAGGAGAGGAGGTGGAGGTAGGAGGAGAGGAGGTGGAGGTAGGAGAGGAGGTGGAGGTAGGAGGAGAGGAGGTGGAGGTAGGAGGAGAGGAGGTGGAGGTTGTAACAGAGGAGGCAGGAGGACAGGAGGTAGAGGGAGGAGCAGAGGAGGCAGCGGCAGAGATAGAGGGTGAGGCAGAGATAGAGGGTGAGGCAGAGATAGAGGGAGAGGCAGAGATAGAGGGAGAGGCAGAGATAGAGGGAGAGGCAGAGACGGTTGTGTACTTGGAAACAGGTGATGGAAGAGGAGAAGCTGCTGGGATGGAGGCAGAGGGAGAGACAGAAGCAGAGGCAGAGGGAGGAGCAGAGGCAGATGCAGGGGGAGAGACAGAAGCAGAGGCAGAGGCGGAGGCAGAGGCGGAAGCACAGGGAGAGGCAGAGACGGTTGTGTATGTGGAAACAGGTGACGGAAGAGGAGAAGATGTTGGTATGGAGGCACAGGGAGCAGAGGAGGTGGAGGTGGGAGGAGAGGAAGTAGAGGGGGGAGGAGAGGAGGTAGGAGGAGAGGAGGTAGGAGGAGAGGAGGTTTCTGTTCTTCATCCACCCAAAAGCGACTCCATTCTTACCATTACCACCCCCGCTCTTGCTGCCCTCCCCGCTGCTCCTCCCTTGCCCCTTGTCATGTCACTGCCGCCTTCATCACCTGTGGCACCTGGGGTATCAGTGGTGGCTGTAGCTGCAGCAGCAGCACCATCTGTAGCACCATCTGTAGCAGCACCATCTGTAGCACCATCTGTAGCAGCACCATCTGCAGCAGCACCGTCCGTAGCACAACAACCAGTGTCTCTGGCATGTGTAGCAGCGGCCACAGGACTGGACACAGCCCATGCACTGGTGGTGTCACCTGTAGCACCTGCAGCAGCTGTAGCACCTGTGGTGCCACCAGTGGCTGCATTAGCACCATCTGTAGCACAACAACCAGTGTCTCTGGCGTGTGTAGCAGCGGCCACAGGGCTGGACACAGCCCATGCACTGGTGGTTTCTCTTGCCCTGCAACGAGCTAAGGTCCGCGCTGCCGCTGCCACTCCTGCTGTGGCTGCTGCAGCTACTGCTATTGCTGCTGCTGCTTCGGCTGTTGCTGCTGCTTTTGTCACTCCTGCTGCCGCTCTTGCTGCTGCTCCTGCTCCCTCTCCTGCTGCTCCTGCTTCTGGTGGTGGTGGTGGTGCTGCTGCCCTTGCTGCTCCTGCTACAGCACAGGCCACGTCACCGCCAACAATGGCATTACTGAGATTGCAACCACCACTAGCATCACCACCGCTAGCACCACTAGCAGCACCACCACTAGCATCACCACCGCTAGCACCACTAGCAGCACCACCACTAGCATCACCACCCCTAGCACCACCGCCACTAGCACCGCGACCATCACCACCATCCCGATCACCATGGGGGGATGAGGAGCTACCTCCAGGTGTGGACCGACCCTCATCTTTTGAGGCGCCTCAGAAGTCGTCGCTGCCTTCGGGTGTGGAGAGACCCATGTCTCTTCAGGCGCCTCAAAAGTCATTGTTGCCTCTGGGTGTGGACGGACCCATGCACCCATTGCATGTGAATGTGGGACTCCCATCATCCATGCCTCTGCCTGCAGGAGCAGCAGCAACAGCGGCAGCAGCAGCAAAACCGCTCATGGCTTGGGGTACTACTTTTTGTTCCTCTTCCTCCTCCTCTTCCTCCTCCGCCCCATCCTCCTCTTCCTCCTCCTCGTTTTCCTCCTCCTGTTCGTCGTCGTCGTCCTCCTCCTCCTCCTCCTCATCCTCCTCATCCTCATCATCAGCAGCAGCGGTATGTGTAGCAGCATGGCATGCGTGGGCCAGTGGTGCCGGCGTGGGGCGGACCACTCCTGCTCTTGCTCCTCTGCCTGCCCCTGCCCATGCCCCGCTGCCTCCTCTTGCCCCTCTTCCTGCCCTTGCTCCTCTACCTTCGGTTCCTCTAATGTCAGCTGTTGCTTCTCCTCCGCTCGCTGCTGCTCCTGCTCCTGCTGTTACTGCTTCTTCTGCTCCTGCTGCTTCTTCTGCTCCTGTTTCTGCTGCTGTTCTTCCTGCATCTGTTGGTGGTTCTGGCAAAAGGAGTGCGGCATCAGTAGCACCACCACCAGCAGCAGCAGCAGTAGCAGCGAAGACAGCAGCAGCAGCAGCATCAAAGACAGCAGCAGCAGCAGCAAAGACAGCAGCAGCAGCAGCAAAGACAGCAGCAGCAACAGCAGCAGCTACCGCTGCAGCTGGTACTTCTGGCAAAAGGAGTGTGGCATCAGCAGTAGCAGCAAAGACAGCAACAGCAGCAGCAGCACCAGCTACCGCTGCAGCTGGTTCTTCTGGCTTGTTGTTGCCTCCGTTTTTCTCACAGGCAGAAGGAAAAGATTCTTTGGCCAGGGTTGTTGAGGCATATGCTGCTGCTAGCGCTGCCAATAGTAACCCTGCTGGAGCAGCTGGTTTTGAGGTGCCTCAGAAGTCAGCATCTGCTGTTGGTGCTGCCAACAGTAAGCCTGCTGCATCGGCACCGGCAGTGGGAGAATCAGCAGGGCTGGTTTCAGCAAGTGAGGTGGGGAGAGGGATCGGCAGAGAGAAGCCAGCAGTGTGTGGGGGGGTCAATGGAGGAGATTGGCAGGGTGCTGCCAACAGTAAGCCTACTGTATCGGCACTGGCGGCGGGAGAATCAGCAGGGCTGGTTTCAGCAAGTGAGGTGGGGAGAGGGATCGGCAGAGGGAAGCCAGCAGCGTGTGGGGCCAGCGATTGGGGTAGTGTAGGAGAAGTTAGGATGACTGACAGAGAGGAGGCGATGGGTGGGGCCTGTAAAAGAGAGAGCGGAGAAGCAGCTGGGGTCGGGATTGAGGAGAAGGAGGATGGTACCAGCTCGCAAGTTTACGTGGGGGAGGTTTGTGTGGGGGAGGTTCATGTGGGGGAGGTTGTTGGATCACCTGAGGAGAAACATGAGGAGATTGGTTTCTACTTTCCTTATTCTGACAGCTCACCTGAACGCCCTGACAGCTCAGCTGACCACTCAGACAGCTCACTCGAAGGCCCTGACAGCTCATCGGAAGATTCTGACAGCTCACCTGGCAAGGCCCTCAGCGAGCCACCTGAACTTTCACCTGAGAAAGCACCTGAGCTACCTGCTGCCATTACATTTGAGGCTCGTCAGGAAGCACCTGAGAGTTGCAAAACTTCACGTGAGATTCAAATAGCTGATCTATTTGGGCCTTCACCTGAAGGTTCAATGGAAGATGCACCTGAAGATGCACCTGAAGATTCACCTGAAGATTCACCTGAGTCAGGCTACTGGGCACCTGAAACAGCTGATCGGACGTTTGAGGATGGGGGTGGTGCACCTGATGCCAATGCTGATGCTGCTGTTCATGCTGATGCCAAGGCTGATTCTGACACCAAGGCTGAGCCTCCACCTGAATTTTCACCTGAAGATGCTCCTCCTGAGCTAGGTTACTGGGCACCTGAAACAGCTGATTTGACACCTGAGGATGGGATTGTTGCATCTGATGCTGATGCCGATGCTGCTGATGCCGATGCTAATGCCGATGCTGCTATTTTGGCTGTTGCTGCAACAACTGCGCTCGCTGATGCTTATGCTGATGCTGATGCTGATGCTGGTGCCGATGCTGATACTGCTACCATGACTGCCGTCGATGCAGCTATTGCACCCGACACTGCTTCTGCCGTTTCTGCTACTCCAGTGGATGCTGCTGCTGGTGCTGCTGCTGGTGCTTCTGCTGCTGCTGCTGCTGCTACCACTGTTGATGCTGCCACTGTTATTGAAAACGCTACTGCTGCTGCTACCTCCGTCAATGCTGCCACAGCTACTGAAAGCACTTCTGCGGCTACTGACGCAATCACTTCTGCTGATGAAGACTCTGCAATTCACAATGCTCCTGCTACCACCGTCAATGGTGCCACTGCTACTGAAGATACTTCTGCTGCTACTGACAAGACCATTCCTCCTGCTGCTGCTGACACGATTACTCCTCCTGCTACTGGCACGATAACTCCTGCCAATATTGATCCTGCTACACACCATGCCCCTGCTACCACTGTTGATGCTTCCACAACGACTGACATCACTTTCGCTGCTACTGGCGCAGCTACTACTCCTGCTGATAATGCTGCTGCTACCCGCAATACTTTTGCCACCACTGTTAGTGCTGCAACTGCAACAGAAGAAACTTGTGCTGCTACTGACGCAACTATTTCTTCTGCTGATAATGCTCTTGCTATGCACAATGCCACTGTTATCACTGTCGATGGTGCCACTGTTACTGGAAATACATCTGCTGCTGCTGACAATACTACTCCTGCTGATAACGCTCCTGCTATGCACAATGCCACTGGCACCACCGCCAATGCTCCCACTGCTGCTGAAAATACTTCTGCTGCTGCTGCCGACACAGCCACTCCTGCTGATATTGATGCTCCTTCTACCGCCGCCAATGCCACTGCTGATAATATTTCTGCTGCTGCTGCTGCTGCCGGCACAGCTATTCCTGCTGACATTGATGCGCCTGCCGATAATGCTCCTGCTACCACCACACCAGCCGCATCCTCTCATTTTCCTCCTAAGGGCATCATGACTTCTTCTCTTCCCCCGCCTTCCCACCCCCCATCTTCCCACCCCCCATCTTCCTTTCCCCCTATTGGTGCAGTATCCCGCCTTCCCCCCATAGGCGCAGCTGCATCTCTCCCCCCCATTGGCGCAGCAGCATCTCTTCCCCCCATCCTTCCCCACATGCCGCACTCTTTCCCCTTCAACCCCTTTCTCCCCTTTCCCCTTGGCCCCTTCCCTCCCCTTGGTTACAACTCGGGTTACCACCAGCTCTCACCCGCTCAAATGCTCTTCCTTAACAGAACTGCTGGATTTGGAAATGTTTCTACTTTTGGAAATGCTCCCAATTGGGGAAATGCTGGGCCTGGTGCAGCTGGTGAGGGGAATCGTTTTCCTGGTGCTGCTGGTGCAACTGCCAGCTTTGGTGCTGCTGCTGTTGTTGCCGGATCCACTGCTCGCTCTGCTGCTGCTGCTCCTGCTGCTCCTGCTGCTGCTGTTGCTGCTGTTGCTTCTGCTGGTGCTGCTGCTGGCAGTGCAGCTGTCGTAGCCCCAGCTGCTGCTGCAGATTCAGAAGCCGCTGGGGCCAGAGCAAGAGTAGCTGCTGCCACAGGTGGCCCCCATAGGCCTGCTGGAAGAAACAGTGCCGCATGTGACAGCAGGGCTTCTAAAACGTCTAGAGAATCCAGTCTTGGACGAATTGTTGCTCCTGGGCAGCAAGGGAACGCTTGGCAGGGCGGGGCTAGCAAGGAGTGGTTAGATGCTCCTCTGGTCTTTGGTCTGAACGTCATTCCGCCAGGGGCTGTTGTGGAAAAGATGGGTGGTGGAGAGGAGGCGGACAGGGGGGATGAGGGAAAAAGGAAGTCATCTTTGGGTGAGGGAGAAACGGGAGAGGAGGAAGGGAAGGGGGAAGATGGGGAGTGGGAAGGTGGGAAAGGGGCCTGTGGAAAGAGGGCAGATGAAAACGAGGCAGGTTGTAAGGGGGCAGGTAGAAGGGGCACAGGAGAAAAATGGGCAGGCGAGAAGGGGGCAGGAGAAATAGGACCGGCAGAGATTGGAGCAGGTGGTGCAGGTGAAAAAGTTGCAGGTCATAAGGGGACTGGTGAAGAGGGGGCAGGTGAAAAAAGGGGAAGTGAGTCTAAGCTGGAAGTGACGCATCTTAGTAAGCCTGCAAACCCGGATGCAGATGATATAAACACGAGCGTGAATGTGAGTGAGATGACTCGAGTCAAGAAGGCGGATGAGTCGGAAGCAGGTGTGAGTGCGGGTCAGATGAGTCATTCAAAGAAGCCAGATGAGTTGGAAGCAGGTGTGAATGTGCTGAATACGCTGCTTGGTTATGGGACGGATGAGGAGGGTGCAGAGGGTGAAAAAGAGGAAGAGGTGGAGGTGGGAGGTGATGGAGAGGGAGGTAAGAAAAGGGAGGGTAAGGGAGGGGAAGGAGAGGAAGGAGGAGGAGCAGAAGCTGGTGCTGCTGCCGCTGGTGCTTCAGCAGCTGGTGCTGCTGCCGCTGGTGCTTCAGCAGCTGGTGCTGCTGCCGCTGCTTCTGCTGTTAGTGTTGGTGGTGCTGCTGCTATGTTTGAGGCGCGTAGAAAATCAGTAGTGGCAGCAACACCTGGGGTGGTTACTGCAGCTGTTAGTGCTGTTAGTGCTGTTGCTGCAGCTGTAGGCCCTGATAGCAGAACCCGGATTGAGTTGAGGGAGAGGGAGAGGGAGAGGGAGAGGGAGAGGGAGAGGGAGAGGGAAAGGGTGAAGGAGAAGGAGAAGGAGAGGGAGAGGGAGAGGGAGAGGGAGAGGGAGAGGGAGAGGGAGAGGGAGAAGGGGAGTGAGGGGAGGGAGAAGGAGAGGGAGAAGGCGAGTGAGAGGAGGGAGAGGGAGAGGGAGAGGGAGAAGGGGACTGAGGGGAGAGAGAGGGAGAGGGCGATTGGGAGTGAGGGGAGGGAGAGGGAGAGGGGGAAGGTGAGTGAGGAGAGGGAGAGGGAGAGGGAGAGGGCGAGGGCGAGGGAGAGGGAGAGGGAGAGGGAGAGGGCGAGAGAGGGGGAGAGGGAGAGGGAGAGGGAGAGGGAGAATGGAAGTGAGGGGAGGGAGAAGGAGAGGGAGAAGGCGAGTCAGGGGAGGGAGAGGGAGAGGGAGGGGGCGAAGGCGAGTCAGGGGAGGGAGAGGGAGGGGGAGAAGGGGAGTGAGGGGAGGGAGAGGGAGAGGGAAGGGGAGAAGGGGAGTGAGGGGAGGGAGAGGGAGAGGGGGTTGGTGAGTGTTGAGAGGGAGAGGGAGAAGGGGAGTGATGGGAGGGAGGGGAAGGAAAGGGAGAAGGGGAGAGACGTGTGGGAGGGTGAGAGAGTGAGTGCTGGGAGGGAGAGGGAGAAGGGGAGAGAGGTGGATGGTGGAGAAGCAAAGGGTAGAGGGAGTGTAGGAGGCGAGAGAGACGTTAGAATGTCAGCAGAGAGGGGGAGGGAGTTGGTGCACATGACAAGAACGAGGGATGTGGATGTGACAAGAACGAGGGGCAGAGATGCAAGCAGCAGCTGTATTTTTGGGGCAGGAAGGGATATTGGAAGGGAAGCGCGTGAACGAGACATGGGAAAGATAGCAGAGAGGAGGGATGTTGATGTGACACGAATGAGGGGCAGCAACAATACGAGGGAAAGAGGAGGTGGGGAAGGAGGTGTAAGGGAAAGAGGAGCAAGGGAGGTAGGAAGAAGGGGAGGAGGAGGAGAAAGAGGAGGGGAAAGAGGAAGAGGGGAAAGAGGAGGAGGGGAAAGAGGAGGAGGGGCAAGAGGAGGAGGGGAAACCCTCAGCAGCCACAAAGCAGATGGGGGAGAAAGAGTTGCAAGGGAAGGTAAGGAAGGAATGGAAAGAGGGGTAGACACAGCACGGGAACGAGGAGAAAAGGCCGATGTGAACAGAAGTGGAGGAGAAAGAGGGGCTGAGAAGGTGGAGGAAGAGGAGAGAGGGAAAAGTCAGAAAGGCGTTGCATTGGCAGAAGAGATAGGGAGGAAGGAGAATGAGGGTGGGGCCAGTGGTGTGAGAAGAGGGAGTGGAGCAACAGGAGAGCGGGAAGAGGAGAGAGTGAAAAGTCAGAAGGGCGTTGCATTGGCAGAAGAGACAGGGAAGGAGGAGGAGGAAGGTGGGGGTGGTAGTGTGAGAATAGGGAGTGTCGCAGCGGGAGAGGGGGGAAAGGAGAGAGGGGAAGGTAGGAAGATTTTCGAATCGGCTGAAAAGAGCAGGAAGGAGGAGGAAGGTGGGAATGGTGGTGTGAGAATAGGGAGTGGCGCGGTGGGAGAGGGGGAAAAAGAGAAAGGGGAAGGTCAAGAGCGATCTAAGGTGGTGGAAGGGACAAGGAGTGAAGGGGAGAGGGGGAAGGGTGGTGCGCAGAGAGAGAGTGGAATGGAAGGAGGAGATGGAGGAGAAGGACGAGGAGGAGGAAAGGAAGGGGGTGAGGGAGGAGGGAGAGGGGAGCGTGAGAGTAAGGGTGGTAAGGATGGAAAGACTGGCAGTAAAGCGAGTGGCAAAGGCAGTGGTAACAACAGGGATGCTGGCAACAGTGGTGGTGGCGGTTCTGGGGGTGGTGGTGGTAGTGGCAGGGGAGAGAAAGGGGGACAGGGAGTAGGATCGTCCAGAAAGGGAGGGATAGTTGGCGGTAAAGGGAGTGGTGGGGGTGGTGGTGGTGATGATGATGGTGATGGTGATGATAATGCTAGGGATTGGGACCGGAAACGGGCTTTGGGGAGTGATAAGGGCAAGGGAGGGAGAAGGAAAGGGGAAGAGGAGGAGGAGGGGGAGGAAGGGAGGGAGAATAAGCGAAGGAAGGAGGAGGAGAAGCGTGGGGAGGGGAGGGATGGGAAGAAAGGGGAGGAACAGGCGAGGCGAAATGCAGAGGTAGAGAAGAGTGGGAATGGGGAGGTGAAGGTAGGTGGTGTGAGTGTGGGTCATCGGGGGGAGGAGAGGAGGATTGAGAGGAGGGATGAAAAGAAAGAGGAAAGTGGAAGGGGTAATAGGAGAAAGGAGGAGGACAGAAGATGGGAGGAGGATGGGAAACGGGAGGAGGATAGGAGAAAGGAGGAGGATAGGAGAAGGGTTGAAAAGGGAGGACGAAAGGAGGAGGATAAAGGAAAAAGGGAGGAGGATAAGGAGAGGAGGGATGAAAAGGGGAGGAATGGGGAAGGGAGAAAGGAGGATCTCAGGAGAAACGAGGATGATAAGAAACGGGAGGAGGATAAGCGAAAGGCGGACAAACGGAGAATGGAGGATGGAAAGAGAAAGGAAGAGGAGAGGAGAAGGGAGGACGAGGAGAGGAAGCAGGAGGGAAAGAGAAAGGAGGAGGGAAGGAGAAGGGAGGAGGGAAGGAGAAGGGAGGAGGGAAGGAGAACGGAAGAGGAAAGGAAAAGGGAGGAGGCTGGTAAGGATAGTGGAAGTGAAAGGGTGGGTGGTTCGCATAGGGATAAGATGGACGAAAAGAAGAGGGAGGGTAAGGGGGGCGAGATGGAAGAGGTGAGGAGGGATGAGAGGAGAGAGGAGAGGACGGAGGAAAGGAAAGAAGAGAAGAAGGATGATAGAAAAGATGAGAGGAGGGAGGAAGAGAAGGATGGGAGGAGAGGGGAAAGGAAAGATGAGAGGAAAGAGAAGATAAGGGATGAGAGGACAGAGGAGAAGAGGGGTAATAAAGGTGTTAAGGAGGCAGGAGAAAGGGATAAAGAGAAGGGGGAGAGTATAAGTGGGGCGAGAAAAGAAGGGGAGAAGGAGCAAAAGGAGAAGAGAGGGCGATTGGATGGGGAGGAGCATGGGCAGAAGAGGGAAGGAAGAAGCATGGGTCATGATACAAACGAGGAGAGGAAGAGGAGGAAGGTGGAGGAGGAAATTAAGGAGAAGGAGAAGAGGGAGAAGGAGAGGAGGGACAAGGAGAGGGGAGAGAAGGAGAGGAGGGAGAGGGAAAAGGGAGAGAGGGAGAGGAGGGAGAGGGAAAAGGGAGAGAGGGAGAGGAGGGAGAGGGAAAGTGGAGAGAAGGAGAGTAGGGAGAGGGAAAGGGAAGAGAAGGAGAGGAGGGAGAGGGAATGGGAAGAGAAGGAGAGGAGGGAGAAGGACAGGGGCGATATGGAGAGGAAGGGGGGGGAGAGGGGGATAAAAGAGAGGAGTGAGCAGGAGACGAGAGGGAAGGAGAGACGAGAAGTGGGGAGAGAAAATGAGAGAAGAGAGGAGAGGAGACAAAAGGAGGGGAGAGAAAAGGGAGGGAAAACAGTCAATGAAGGCAAAGGAGAAAATGGGGAGAGGAGAGAAGCAGTGGAGATGGGAAAAGGTGAGGAAGTTGAGGAAAAAGAGGCTAGGAGAGAAAAGGATAGTAGAGGAACAAATAAGCATGACAATAAGAAGATGTGTGACGAGAGTAAGACACATGACGATGGGAAGCAGGAAGAGGGTAGGGAGGATGGGAGGGGTGAAAGGCCTGGGCGAATTTCTGAGTCACGACAAAAATTGGAGGAGAAAGTTGTGGGGAAGGAGGAGGGAAGGGATGTGGGGAAGGGGGATGGAGGGCATGGGAAGCGGCAAAGGGAGCGTGAGTGCAGTGAGGAGGAAACTTTCAATGATAGTGATTCCAGTGAGAGTGATTCTAGTGAAGATAGTTCTCAGGAGGGAGGGTTGAAAAAGAGGAGGAGCAGCGGAAAGAAGGAGGACAGGAGAGGAAAGCGGGTGAAGGGGAAGGGGAAAGGGAAGGTGAAGGGGAAGAAGGAAAAGGAAAAGGAAAAGGGGAACAAGAAATCTGGGATGGAAAAGGAGGGGGGTGAGGAGGGAAAGGCAGGGAAAGCAACAAAGAAGGAGGTGAAGGAGGAAGAGGAGGAGGAGGAGGAAGAAGCGGAGGGCATGAGTATGGAACTGCTGGTTCTAGCTGAGAAGAGGAAGAAGTGGCGGCAGGACTGGCGAGAGATGAAGGTAGTTGCAAGGGAGACCGAGAAGGAGCGAGAGAAGGACAGACAAATCGAGAGAGAGAACGAAAGGGAGAGAAAGGAAGCTGGTGCTGCTGCAGCGGCGGCGGTGGCTGGTGCACCTGCTTTCCCCGTCACGCTCCCTGCTAGCCCATCCTTTCCCCTGTCCGCCGTCCACTCACTTGTCTCTCCCCCACACTCAACAACAGCCCATATTCCAGGCCCGCCCTTCCCCGGTGGGGGTGCTTTTCCCAATAGTGGGGGGGCTTTTCCTGGTGGCGGTTTGTTGCAGACCCCAGGTGTGGCACCGCATCATACCCATACCAACCCCCTTGCACCGCATCAAACACACACCAACCCATTAGTAGCTCACCATGCACTGCTGCAAGCTCTGCGTGCTGCTCCCCGCCCCCTCCACTCTGGCTCTGCTCTGCCCCCCGCTCTGGCAGGTAGTGGTATTGGCATGAGTGGTATGGGTGGAATGGGTTTGAATGTGGTTGGGCTGGGTACTGGTGCGCCTATGGCTCAATTCGCTGCTGCAGCTGCTGCTGCTCGGGCTATTGTGAATGCCAAGGCGATTGCCGCTAGAGCTGGTGCTACTGCCGGTGCTGCTGCTGCTGCTGCTGGTGCTGTTGCTGGCGGTATTGGTGGTGATGCTTTAGCAGCCGCCGCCGCTGCTGCTGCTGCTTTAGCAGTCGGTGCTGGCATTGGTGGTGGTGGTGTTGGGGGTGGTGGTGGGTGCTGCTGCTGCGACAATCACTGCCCCTGCTGCAGCTCCGGCTTCTCTTGCTGCTATGCCCTCAGCTGCTGCTGCAGCACAAGCTGCTATGGCTGCTGCTTCGGCTGCTGCTCTTGCTGTGGAGCGTAGGCTCGGCCTAACTTCTGCCGAAGCAGCTTCCCTCCCGAGCCTCCGCTGGTGGTTCGGCCGAGCCTGGAACTGGCTCGGGTGGTCTGGGTACAGTTGGTGAGGTGGTGCGGCAGGAGGGAGAGGGAGTGGAGGAGGGAGATGGGGAAGAGGAGGGGGAGGGAAAGGAGGGGAAGAAGAGGGTACAGTTTTCAGATGAGATGGAGGGAGGAGAGGGAGGGGAGGGTGGGGTGGGAGAGGAGGAGTGGGAGGAGATGGAAGGGGATGAGGAGGAAGAGGGAGAGGAGGGGGAACGGAGGAGGGTGAGGAGGAAAAAGAAGGGAGTAGTGATCGACGATCGATATCTGGTGGATGTGAAAGACGTGAAGAACAGGTGAGAGCAGCCGTTCTAGTTTGAAAGACTTTTGAGGCGCCTCAAAAGAAGAAGAGGTGAGAGCAGCCGTTCTAGTTTGAAAGAACGTGTTTATTACGTAGAGGCAAGAGGAACAAGGGAGTGGTGATTGACGATCGGTATTTGATGGATGTGAAAGACATGAAGACAGGTGAGCTGGTTCTCAGTATTACTGGACAAGGTAAGTGGCAGGACAAAGGGCAAGAGAATCAAGGGAGTGATTGAGGATCGACGCCTGTGGGTGTGCAAGGGACGCGAAGAACAACTGCTGCAATTTTATCGCTCGCCACTCTTCACACCCTTGCACCCACCTCCTCCTAGCTACCCTTGCTCTCCACTCATTCCCCTCCTTACAGTGTGAATAGAAGTACGCAAGGTGGTGCACAGCAGGAGCAGTTTGAACCGCCTCTCCCCTTTCTCGTTTTTATGATTACCTTGTCTCTCTTCTCCTGTCCTCTCCTCATTCCCCACCTGCAGTGTGAAAGAAGCAATCAAGGCCATGCGCAGCAAGAGCAGCATCAACCGGCGGGTAGCTTCGATGACCACACTGGGCGTGTCAGGGGCCAGCAGCTAGAGCAGCGGAGCAATCGGCACTGGCAGCCAAGCGGGAGAAGGAGAGGGCTCAGCTGGAACTGAGGAGGAAGTACTATGGGCTGCCTTGAGGAAGATGATGTGATGTGGGTACAACATATAAGAGGGAGAGGGAGAGGGCGCAGCTGGATTTGAGGGATGGAGTGGGAGGGTCACGATTCACATGGTGTGCATGTCTGGCATTTGGGGGTGTGTCAGGACCAGCAGCCAGGGCAGCGAAGCAGTCAGCACTGGCAGCCAAGAGGGAGAGGGAGAGAGCGCAGCTGGAGCTGAGGAGGAAATACTATGGGCTGCCTTGATCCCGAATATAGGGCCTTGTGGGTTGGAGCAGCGTTAGCCGCTTTGTCGCGTCCCTCATGAGTCACCACACAGGGCGTGTCAGGGCCAGCAGCCAGAGCAGCAGAGCAGTCAGCACTGGCAGCCAAGAGGGAGAGGGAGAGAGCGCAGCTGGAGCTGAGGAGGGAATACTATGGGCTGCCTTGATCCCGAATATAGGGCCTTGTGGGTTGGAGCAGCATCAACTGCCGTGTCGCGTCCCTCATGACTCACCACTCGCGTCCCTCATGACTCACCACACAGGGCGTGTCAGGGCCAGCAGCCAGGGCAGCAGAGCATTCAGCACTGGCAGCCAAGAGGGAGAGGGAGAGGGCGCAACTGGAATTGAGGAGGAAATACTATGGGCTGCCTTGAAAAGGACAAGGACCGTAGGATCACGCCAAGCTCATGGTGGTGCATCTGACTGTCTGTTCCCCTTATTCGGGATGTGTTGGAGGGACCGACAACCAAGGTAGCCAGGGCGCATAATCGGTTTCTTTTTGCCGCCGCCAGACGTGAGACGGAAAAAAACAGAAGTCTGAAGTTTCGAGCTGTTAGCCCGTAGGGACAAGTAACCCTAGGGGCGCTATAGGTATTTTTGAAGAGCCTTCAAACACCAATACGCGTGGGATTGTGTAAAAACTACCAAGCATGTATGAACTCCTGGCAATGTGTTTGCTTGCATTATAGTGGAATGCATGAAGCGAATAAAAACTATAATTAACAAGATTCGACGTTGAACGTCGGAAGGGTTGCGTAGAAATTAGATTCCTATCGTTTGCAGAAGAGGGTTGTTAGAAAATTGTGTCTTACAAAAAACTGTTCAGGTGTCTATAGTGGGTTGTAATTCACGATGATGACCTGTTCTGCTTGTGACTCAAATGTGTCAGCAGGTGATTGTTTCACTCGATTCACCAGATGTCACGTGACACTACCTTCCAAACTGAAGGTTCTGCTTGTTTTCTTTTTGCTATATGAAAATCCTCAAGCTTTGTTTTTTGTTTCGATTCAATTCACTTGATCGAGCTGTTGTTCTGAAGTACTGTATAGCCTTTGGTGCCTCGCTCTGCCCCAGTGAAAGGTTTTTTTTGTTCACCACCCACAGAACACCCTTCTTCCTCCCCTTCTTCCACTTCACTTCTTCGGTTCCCCTCGCCAACTCCTCCTCGGGTCGAAGAGTCTGGCGGGAACTCATTCGTGCCATTCCCAAGCCCTGGTGGTCAGCCCTCCGCTCTCCGCCTCCCCCCTCGGCAGCTCCAGGGGAGTGGTTCGTGCCCTCGCAGGACTCTGATGCCTCCCCCACCCGTGCCCTCCTAGTTATAGCCTTCTTGCCTCCGTCGTCGCTTTCAGCTTCCCTCCACCGTGTCCTCCCCAACCGGCTCATTGAACGTTCATCGATCAGAATTGGCACCTACCGTATCGGTGATCTTTCTGCAGTGCATGTCGTCGGGTCCTGGCTTGCAGGTCCCTTCTTTACAGGTGCAGGGCTCAGCGCGCGGCTCGACATCCTCCAGGATGGTTGCCCCAGTGTAGCTGACCTTCGTCGCCGCCTCTATACCAAGCGTCCTCTCGATCACGCCGCCCGTTGGATCCGCATCCTCCCCGCGCCTCCTCCTCTTATTCCCGACTTCTCCCATGACTTTTTACGTGAACAACCCAGCCTCCAGCGCGACATCTTGTACCGGTTCTATACCCGCTCTCTTCCTTCGGGCTCTCGGTTCAACTTTGCCGCTGATCGAGGGATTTGTTCACTCTGCCCTTCTGCAACTACTGAGACTATCTCCCACATGTTTTATTTGTGTGGGGTGGCCCCTGCAGTTATTTCTGCCCTCTCTTCCGTCGCCCATCGCCACCTCCACTGTTCTCCTCCTCCTGAGCTCTTGCTTTTCCCGCTCACCTCGAGAGCAGGCCAGGTAGCCCTATGGAGCCTTTTGGTGGGTGCCTGTGCAAAGGCAATCTGGAATGCGCGATGTGACCTCAAATACAACGACTCCCCCTCTTCTAGTTTCGAGATCCTCCAGTTCATCCTAGCACAATTCCTCCTTGCTTTCAAAATATTCCTTTGGCGGAGGAAGCGACAATCAGTGAAGAAACAGCAACGCTCGGCCTCTCGCATTACGCTGGCCACCCGACTGCGTTTCCTCATCTTTGACCCTGACGGAAACCCTTCCATTCACTCGGACCTCCGCTCCTCTTGGCTACTCGGTGACTCCTTTTGCCCCCCCTAGGTCATTCTCCGTTTTTTAGCATAGAGCACTCCCCAGTTTTGCTGGCGGTTATCCTACGGATAAGGGAATAACGTGTTTCCTACGTACGCCTTCGGGTTGTTGGTTGTGTAGACCATATTTCCAGCTGCTCTATGCTTTGCTATACATGGTTACGACCTTAGGACGCAACACCTGTTTTTATTTTACAAGGATCGTGGCCTCACATCGATCCTGGCACATCGATCGGCACACCGATGTGCCCACACTGCAAATTTGCAGTGGGTAGACACATCGAGCTATAGGTGCCAGGATCGAAATTGCAGGCTCGGGCAGGTTGGAGCTGCCATTACACTTAAACGGGCAGCCAATCAGGGCAGAGCGTGGATGGTCGTCCAGTAATTCCATTCGCAGCGAATCAAGAATTTTTGGCCTGCGACCGTGGGCGACGCCGATCGATCGAGGCTATCACCTGTGGCGCGATATGCTCTCCCGCCAACCCTAACGCATGCTGATAAAGTTAGAAGAAAGAAGAGGATTGAACTAGCAGAAATGGGGATACAAATAGCAAACCCTAGAAGGGTTGTACTCGCTATAGAGCACCCCACTACAGGCTAGAACATAATATAACATTCTTACACACCCCCATAGCCAAAGTGGGGTGTAATCAGCAGAGCAGGCAAAGCAAGTACAAGCTCAGGGTGGATCACAATGTCACCACACATTCTGAGCACAAGTTCAAGAAGAAAATAGTTTAGAGTGCACAATTATGAGCAAAGCTAGTGGTAGTCACAACGGGCAAGTGAGGAGGAGGAGAGAGAGTGAGAGGAGAGGAGATAGAAGGCGGCGGCTGAAGCTGCAGACACACGGGCAACAGGAGTGGCGAGCACAGTGGCTACCGGACTAAGCGCCCGGACTACAGGAGCAACAGGCCCCGCGGCTTAAGCAGCGGCAGACGGGCAACGGACCCACAGGCGACTGGCGCAGCGACAAGCTCACTGGGCTACCGGGACAACGCCCCGGACTACAGGTGCTGCGGACAACAAGCTGGCAGCCTCCACTCAACCTCCCGCAGACAGTCCCACCCCCTGATACACACCCACTGCTACACCGCTAGCTCCACTCCCACGCACCCCCCTTAAACCCTAAACCCAGTCTCCCACACATCCACCCCCCTCAGCGACAGCTGCAGAAGTGGGAGACGAAGGAGGAGGAGGAGCAAAGGGAGGAATGCACACCGGCCACCCCCATACCCGCCACCCCCACAGCTGCCCCGAAGGAGCCGCGACGGGCGACGGGAAAAGGGGGGGAGGGGGGGGGGGGGGGGGGGGCGGGGCCGCGACGAGTAGGGCGACGGGCCGCGAAGGAAAGCGGCGGGGCCGCGATGATGGGGCGGCGGGGCCGCGACAGGTCGGTGGCGGGTGCCGCGACCGGAGGTGGCGGGGCCGCGACAGGTCGGTGGCGGGGCCAGCCGATGGTGGGGGCGGCGGGGCCGCGACAGGTCGGTGGCGGGGCCGCGATGGTGGGGGCGGCGGGGGCCGCGACGGGTCCCCGTCGACCCGTCGCGGCGCCTCCAGAGGGCGACGCGGCGAACGACGGGGAGCAGAAGCCCGCCGCGCGCCTCGGGGCGCACAGCGGGCAGAGAACCGCCGCGCGCCTCGGGGCGCACGGCGGGCAGAAAACCGCCGCGCGCCTCGGGGCGCACGGCGGGAAGAAAAAAATGGTAGCGGAAGCGTGGAGGTGGTAACCCACCCACAGGATCGATCCAAGGGGATCGACCTGCTCTGATAGCATGATAAAGTTAGAAGAAAGAAGAGGATTGAACTAGCAGAAATGGAGATACAAATAGCAAACCCTAGAAGGGTTGTACTCGCTATAGAGCACCCCACTACAGGCTAGAACATAAGATAACATTCTGACACATGCACCACGGCACATCGATCGTGCGAGCTGCAGGTGCCACCAATTTGGGTACCCGTTTACTGTACATTCTCGACGTTTAGCGAAAAACGGATACCAGGCATTGGCGATGTCGCCAATACACTGTACAAGCGGCACATCAATCCCCTCCGACGATCGATCCTGGCAAAATGAAAACAGGTGCCGCGTCCTTAATATAACCTTAACCTTAACCTTAACCTCAACCTTAACCTTAACCTTAACCTTCAAACCAGGGTCTCATGAAGATCATTTGTTTTGCAGTTGATGGTAAACACCCGTTTCCCATTGGTGACGAAGCCCTAAAAAACGAAAAGGGGTGCAGCGAGGGATGCGAAGGGAACTAAATCGCTTGCTGTGCTCCAAACCTTCTAGGTATGGAAACAGGCTCGGAGCCGAAGCTACAGTGCCATTGAAATGTCAAAGAAGTGTCGAGAGTCTCATGTACCTGAAATTTGTTTTGCATTTGGTGCTGAGGCAAAATAGGGGGAGTGTCGCACGCCAACTTCCCTAGCCAACCAGTCCAACTCGCCTACAAACACAAGGTAACGCAAGTCTCAAATGTTTTCCAATTGATGGCGAAATCTCTTACTTGAGACCCTGGTTTTAACCTCCCCTTCTTCGTTCTTCCCTTCTCAGCTTCTCGACTCTGAACTGAGTTGCTCCTACTGCAGAGCCTCTTGAATGAGAGACTCATCTTGCGTTTTCCTCCCAATCCACAGTCGCCTCTCCCTCCAATCCACAGTCGCCTCTCCCTCCAATCCCGCCATCGCCTCTCCCTCCTTCCCAGCCGCCGGTCGCCGCTTCTTCCCATCCCACCGTCGCCTCTCCCTCTTCCCCGCCGTCGCCTCTCCTCCTCCCGCCGTCGCCTCTCCTCCTCCTCGCCGTCGCCTCTCCCTCCTCCCCGCCGACGCCTCTCCCTCCTCCCCGCCGTCGCCTCTCCTCCTCCCCGCTGTCCGCCTCTCCCTCCTCCCCGCCATCGCCGCTTCTTTTCCCATCCCGCCGTCGCCTCTCCCTCCTCCCGCCGTCGCCTCTCCCTCTTCCCCGCCGTCGCCTCTCCCTCTTCCCCGCGCGTCGCCTCTTCCTCCTCCCCGCCGACTCGCGAGAGCGGGTTGGTGCGCCAGCGCGGGTTGGTGCACTTGCGCGGGTTGGTGCACCAGCGCGGGTTGGTGCACCAGCGCGTGTTGTTTTTTCTGAGACAACGTAATTATCAGGTGCGTTCCCGGTCCTTTCATCCCCCCTCCAACCGCTGAAATTTCCTTCATTTTCTGCTCTCTTCGTAATCTCTGTGTGTCCATTGGTCTCTTCTTGCATTGCACTTTCATTTCAAGAAGGGTTGAGACGGAGCGCGAGGGAGAGCGTGTGCACGGGAGCGAACGCGTAGGAGAGAGCGCAGGAGAGAGCGCAGGAGAGAGCGCAGGAGAGAGTGCGTGAGAGAGCGCGTGAGAGTGCGCGTGAGAGTGCACGTGAAAGTGCGCGCGAGAGAGCGTGTGAGAGCGCGTGAGGGAGCGCGTGAGAGTGCGCGTGAGAGTGCACGTGAAAGTGCGCGCGAGAGAGCGTGTGAGAGCGCGTGAGGGAGCGCGTGAAAGTGCGCGTGAGAGAGCTTGTGACAGTGCGCGTGAGAGAGCGCGTAAGAGTGCGCGTGTGAGATGCGTGTGACAGAGCGCGTGACAGAGCGCGTGAGAGAGCGTGTGAGAGCGCGTGAGGGAGCGTGCGAGGGAGCGCGTGAGGGAGCGCGTGAAAGTGCGCATGAGAGAGCTTGTGACAGTGGGCGTGAGAGAGTGCGTAAGAGTGCGCGCGTGAGAGTGTGCGTGAGAGTGTGCGTGAGAGTGCGCGAGAGAGTGCGCGCGAGACTGCGCGTGAGAGATTCGGTTAGGGAGCGAGTGAGAGTGCGCATGAGAGTGCGCTGGCACCTTTTCTGCTATGCACTGACGCCTTGTGCAATGCATGTGAGGTGTACTATTTGTTTTTTTGCTTTCTTGTGCAGGGAGGGTGATTTTTATTTCCTGCTTGACCTCCTCCTGGAAGGGCAGGTGAGTTGCATGATCTAGATTTTGCATTCTTGTACACAGTGTCTGTGTAAACATTCTCTGATTTTTTTGTGTAAGGTGAGTTGTTGCTTTCCCTGTTTTTGCTTTGTGCAGGGCGTTTGTGTGTTGATTTCTCTGTTTTTGCTTTGTGAGGGGCATGTGTGTGTTGACTTCTCTTTGCTCTGTGCAGGGCGTGCGTGTGTTGATTTCTCTGGTTTTTTGCTTTGTGTAGGGCGTGTGTGTGTTGACTTCTCTGTTTTTTCCTTTGTGCATGGCGTGTGTGGTTGGCTTCTCTCTTTTTGCTGTGCAGGGCGTGTGTGTGTGAACTTTTCTGTTTTCGCTTTGTGCAGGGCGTGTGAGCTGAGAAGGGAGATGAGAGAGGGAGTGGGAGGGAGATGAGGGAAGGAGGGACGGAGGGGTGTAGGGAGGGTTAAGGGGGACTAGTGGTGATTTTTTTGCATTTCTGAATTTCATTTGTGATGGTTGCGTGTTTTATTACGCTATCTGTTTGTATCTGTGCTCGTTTGCTTGTGTGTCGTCACTGTGCAGGGAGTGAGAGCTGCATTTGCTGTTTTTTTTTTTTTTTTTTTTTTTTTTTTTTTTTCGTTCCTGTGCAGGAAGTTCCAGCTGCAATCATTGTTCTTGCGGAGAAAAACGGGGGGTGTGGGGGGGTGGGGGGGGGGGGGGGGGTGGGGGGGGAAGGGAGATCAGGAGGGGGGGAGGGAGTGTAATGGGGGACAAGTTAGCGATGGTTTATTAATGGCTGAACTTCTTTGGCTATGATTGCATGCTTAGTAGCTGTATGTTTCTGCATCTTTTGTGTGCATATGTGTGAGCCTATATGCGTGTGAGTGTGTGTACATGTGGTATGTAGTGTTGTTTGTGTCTGTTTCGGGGTGAGTTCTCTGCTAAGTGCCTCGTGTATGAAATTGGGGTTGTGATCGTTGGTGGGGCTTTTGCTTGCCTCTTCCATACCAGATCAATCTCAGTTGGATCAATGATGCATTTTAGCAGTAGCTTCGAAGCATTCATAACTGCTGTCGTTTGTGTCTGTTTTGGGGTGTGGGGTGGTGCAACGTGGGTTGTGATCGTTCGTGGGGCAGCTTTAATCGCCTCTTCCGTACAACTTTGCATGCTTTTGTGTGTTTTTTTAGAAGCTTGCCTAAGCGTGTGTTTTTCGTACCGTTACCGTATGTTCAATTCTTCCATTCGCCGTACTTATCACGATTATTGTTTGTTGGGCTGAGACGCCCTAGGTTCTTTGTAGAGTTAAATCTGAGTAAAATGATGTAATAGCGGAAGCGTTTGAATTAAGCCCTTGAACCACATTGCGCTAGTATGTGAGGGCAAAGTGAGTTGATTAAAACAAAGGGATACAAGAATATATATATGAGTACAGAGAATATGAAGAGACATAATTGTAACTACTTTACTGTTGCGGTTCGATACAGTGCGACTCGGGCAACTGCTCAATGTCGAGTAAGTTGTGTGTCCTTGCTGTCGCGCTGCATTTGTCAAGTCAAGGTCGCTGACCTTTGACTTTCTCGTAACCTCCAGCAGTTACTGTCAAATGTTGTAGCCTGTAGTGAGGTTTGTCTTAGGGGGTACAGAAGTTAGGGTTTGTTATATGTACACCCAACCAACATCAATGGCATCATCATTCCTCATTTTGACATGGTATCAGCTAGGTTAGGATCCTGTGGGATCCCGTTCCTCCGTTCTCCGTTCGTCCCTCCCGAGCCTGATCCTACCTCTCGTTCGTACCGGTTCCGTTGTTACCGC